GTAGTAGTTGGTCCTTCAGTTGTGGTAATTGTTGGTGTAGTTGTTGGCTGCACTGTTGACATGAGCGTAGTAGTTGGTTCTTCAGTTGTGGTAACCGTTAGTGTAGTTGTTGGCTGCACTGTTGACGTCGTTGGTGGAATTGTGGTCAAATTACAAGGACAACACAATCTAATTTCATAGTTGTAGCAAACTCCAAAATTATCACTATTCAGACATATCAATCCTTCATTAGTCTTGCAGGTTACGCGTTGACCAGTACTTTGGTATGGATTTTTGAAGTTTTTTTCTCTACATTCAATTTCATAGGGCATTCTGCAGACTGGATAATCTATCGTGATTTTTTCCAAAATCTCAAAATCACCACCATTTATAGGACTGGGCTTCCACGTGTCTATCCACTCACTCCAGCAGCCATCGCAGGGAGCTATTTAGATCAGAAATAAGTTAATTAAATTATGAATTTAGATTAATTAAATCAGACTTTTTTTACGCGCGCTTTATAACCGCAAGAAAATGGCGCATTACTATGCCCATACCAATACCAGTAATGTTGCCTTTTGTATTTTAATTTTAATATACTATTTAATATACCCCAACATGTCCTACACATTTATCATAAATGTAAATAATGCATTTCTGCGCATTGTTTATTTTATGCTTACATAAACATCTGTATTATTTTCAGTGAAACAATACCTTTTTAAAACTTACATTCTGTAGTAGGTGTTGGGATCCCGGATGTTGGTGTTGTTGATATATCCGTCTTATTTCCTGATAGTGTTGGTATCGTGGTCTGTGGCTCTAAAATGCAATGAAGGAAACAACACAACACTAGCAAAATTCGTTTTTTTAAATGCTATTTAAATGTTGTTATAAATATTATTAAGTAGGCCTATAAGTGCACTAGGGAGACGTCATCCATGATTCATAAAGTTATTGTATTATAATATGGAGCCTAATCTCGATAACTATTAACATATAATATAAATATAGTAACAAGATATACAGAGACAAATTGAATCTGTTGTCGGATTCAAAAACATGGTGTGACCTATGGAATTAAATTTCAATATGCCAACAACAAAATACATACGATATACACAATATTACCACCAATAAATGAATCTGTGCTAGATAATGTTTTCGATCATTTATCCAAAAAATACCTGTACTTGTCGGTGGTGCCGTACTGTGCCCTGAAGTTCCGATGAAAATTATATATAAAATATAAAATATATGAAATAAAGAATTGGTCATGATAAACCTCGGATGTTATGGTATTTACAACACATGTATATATACATGAAAGCTCTGGATTCTACAGCCTTTTATAAGTCGTATCTAATCGATTTTAAGGAATGCAACATTATTTCCATTTTTCAAAATACAAGAATTCGAAATAGAGGGGGCCCAGGAAGGGACCTTTAGAGATGAAGCTTAGACCACCTCAGCCCCACCATGGTAACAAAATTTATGATTATAGCACCTCTAGTTGGCCGGAAATGGCACTCTCAGAATTAAATTATAATACAATACAAAAGGAATAGATCGTTTATAGTAGAAATTGTGCACTTTTAAGTTTGTAAAAACGTTGCCTACTAGGTTTACACGCTACCAATTTCAACAACGTACAGTACATTATTTTCACAATAAATTTAGCCTCTGATAACCATTGCACCCATAAAATTGATGGGGTGGTTAATTTACTGAGATGGTTACGAAATGTACAAACAATTGCCTTTTTCCTCGGTTTTGGTCCGGAAGTACGAACCGCACTTGGAACAGAGCACAATTTATGACAGTCATTCGTGTTGTTCTTTCCACTCGCTTTGAAAATGGGGTTTTAACTATAGATTGGTGAAAAGTGGGGGGAGGGGGAACAATTGATATGATGTCCCCCTCCCCAACTTACAAACAAGTTGGAACGTGTCCCTCTGTCCCCCACCAATCGACGCCAATGATTATTGGATACAGAATATGCCATGCATGGAAAGTAGACTTGGTTATGGATGTTTATTTAAAAAATTATTCACATTATACCATGTACCTATCTATAATGATGGGTGAGAGAATAAGGTATATAATGTGCCTTGCCCTTCACAAGTATTGTGGCCAGTGTTTTTCACTCACGACCCCGAATAAAAATCTTGCTGCTGAGTCGCAATCCTTCCATAAATGTAGGGATCGGGGAACACATGCGGTAAGCAAAAATACTTACTTGTTGTTGTCACTGTTGTGGTAGTGCAAGTGCATTCTGATGGGCACTCATCTATTGGTACACATCGACTGCTTGTCGGGTCAAGCACATGACCATCATCGCATTCGCATCCTTCAACGCATCCATCAATTTCACATTCTTTGTCACAGCAATAATTGTCACAGGTTTTTGGACAAGGAGTCGTGCAGGGCACCCATTGGCCACACCCATCGCATTGCATTGCTATACAGTATTACATTCCATAAATAAAAATACAATTAGTAATGTACATTTTACTCGACAAGGTGTCATTAAAGAAATAAATTCATGCTTGAATTTGCATAATTATTTAAACCTTAAAGAACAAGAACAATTTATCTCAATAGATCGTCCTTTGACTAACATAAATTAGAAATACAATATACATTAATGTGCACTGTTAATTATTATTAGAGCTATCACTTACGGCAATGTTCATTGGATCGCCAGTCGACCTCAATACCATGTAGTACACAAGCGTGTGCATACGCTTTAATTGCAGTACACAAGCACTCACAGTCTCCACCGAAATCACATCCACATGCATCGTACACACATCTCTGGTAATAGTTTTCATAAGGAACCTCAAAATGACAAGCCTGGAATATGTCTGACTTGATAATTGCACACTTCTTCACAGCCCATGCCTCTCTATGTGGTACTAATGAACAAGTGTTGTTGATCTCTTGTGTCGGTGGACAAGACTGTCGCGCCTTCCAACTGTCTCCAAATTCAGTGGCTGTGGCAACTGGTGGTCCGCCAGAAGATGGAACAAAATCATTCACATGATCACTGTCGAAGTTGCCACAAAGACCAGTTACCTGGTAATACATTAAAACACAGTTATTTCGGCAAAATTTCTATTCTAATTTAATTTATTTTACTGACATATTTTACTATCCGAGAATAATAAATTTTACGGGACCATTTTTTGATAGGTTCAATATAGCTTTTGAGACAAGTGAAAGTTCACTATACTAACAGACAGTTATTTAAAACCTTGAATCTATGTACTGTATATAAGAGCCTATATACATACAAATGTATGGGAACTACAACAGTCACTCCTTTGTTTGCAAACGTGTATCGTATATCAAGGGAACGAGTGACTATTATTGAGAAGGAATTTCTAGTAACCTATTACTAAATGATCAATTTTCAAAATGTTACGTACATTTTTACTATGCTCTGGACTAAGTCTTATGTACATTAATGTACCCCTGTCCCACTGCAACGTAACTCCTTCGGGAATTGTGATGAAGATGTAGTTTCCAATATCATGCATATGGAAATGTGAATTCATCGGGAGTTCAAGAGTTTTTCCGCGAACCAACTCAACAGTTTCTTTATCGACACCAGATCCAACGTTGAAAATTATGGATTTTGTACAGGTTACGCCAGTGGATCCACATAAGATGTTTTGAGACTTAATGGAGAATTCGATATGCGAATCAGACGTACTCTGAACCATGGTGTACGTACACTCTCCTTGGAACTCAAATTGTCTAGAGTCAAATGATGTGTAATGTGATTCGCCATAGACAGTACATATGCCTGCAAATGTAGATATTAAACATGCTAGTATTTACTTTTTTCATATTTATAAATAAACTTTCACATCAAACTTCATGTCTATTAATTGACAATTATTTTTATTTAACTAAGATAGATAAGATAGCCTTATTCTAAATATTTAGCATGCTCTACTAACAAAACATAATTATTCATTATTAATAAAATGTGTTTGAAACATTGATTTTATTATGTAATGTCACAACAAAACGCTGAAATTTACCTGGACAGGCTTTTGTTTCACATTCCCATTTTCGACCATTGCAGACACTATGGAACAAAACGTTTAAGATTTATGTTGTAACAGGAGTATAACAAATAAATATCAATTGTTGGATCAGAAAAATATATGTAATGCCACAAAATCATATAATATATACACATTCATTTTGAAATTATTTAAGATAAACTGTCTGTAATGAGCTGAAAATTCTTAATTTAATTGGTTTAAATCAGATGTTCAATGTCTAAATTGTTATTTTTATATACATATTTTGTAAATGGCGGTATCTTTTACAATCTAAACAACTAAAATAGCACCCTCTTTAATGTTTAGGGCTTGCCATTGCTACAGTTCGGCAAGTAGGTACGGGAAGGAATACTCGAATAGGAAACATGCGAAGAATATATCATGAAAGGGCTTAGGTCAAGGGGATATAGGGGAATTTGTACCATTGGTTGCAATCCATCATGATTGTTTCCCAATTCCGGTAGCTCCTGTCTCCATGGTAACAAGGACAATCCTCTTTTCTAACGCATTGATCACCTGAGAATTATCGATCACAATATATTAACATTCTTTTGCAATTAAACAACAATCATATTTTGCATTCATCATCCGGGTTGCACTCTGGTTTATTCTATATGCTGTTTATTATTTGTAATGTGCATAGAGGCAGTCAGATCAGTATGCATTTTATATTCACAATATAACTTCCTCAATTTGAATGGATTACTAAGCAAGAAAGGCTAGCTAAGTTGCAGCTGAAACATTTCAGACAAGACAAGTCCTCCATCAGTGACATTTGATATACATACATATATTTGTATATTTATACGCATTTATGTTTGTGTGATTAGGTGTGTGTAGCTACATACCGTCAAAGACGAAGTCCCCAACACACTGACAGCCAGGCTCGCACTTTACAGTATTACATGCTGCATCTATTTCATCTAGGTTTGCACAGGTCAGAGGACATGGTTCACGGCATTCGGCAAACTCCATATTTTCCCCGCATACTGGTTCATCAGGAGAGCAAGTATTCTCCGTGCATTGCCAAATACCATTATCACACTTGCTGAAATGTCAATGTAGAATCATGTTATCTATAATACATAGATATTCTTTTTAAATTAGGCCGATTGGTCATGTATCATTTTAGTTAGCTTGTAAAAATAGTTATTTTATCCATATTAATTTAATACAACTTCTCATAATTCAAAGTACTAATTCCGTTTTGTGCATTCTGCCTTTAATCTCAGTTTCTTTAAGGTATGCTAGGCGTACGTAGATCCGCTTTTGTTATGAGGACGCAGAGAAGTGTTTGTTTTTCTAATGGATGGGATATTTATTAGGTATCAGTTTTTCAAATTGATCCAAAACAAGCATAAAGTCAGGTCCATGTAATTCGTTTTATTTAGGTTTAGGCCTAGGCCTAGTGTTAATTTAATCTTTCACTAGACGAGTAAACAACTAACTAGAATTTGACATACCAATTCTGACATCCTTGTCTAATATTTTCCCCCGGGTTGTAATACCGGCCGTTGTATTCACATGGACAGCTGCTGAAAGCTATACAGCGGCCATATTGGTCAAGTACTTGTCCATTCGGACAACTACATCCTGCGATACATTCCTCTTGACAAGACACTTTTGCAGTAAGAGCAGCACAGCTTGTTTTACATGCTGACCCACACTCCTGGTAGATTTGATCTCCTTCGCATACAATTGCTAGATGTTTGAATAATCAGAATAATGTTATTGATGACAGGCCTATATAGATTTCATTTTTTTGCTTATCATTGAACTTGAGACCTCCGGTTTTTACTTGAGTTTACTAAAATAATGATGTGGTTAACAACTATAAAAGAACTCACCACATTCGGTTATTTGTGACCGCCAATCAATCGGGGTCCCCATTTTGGCACACGCATCAGCGTAGACTGCTAAACTTGCACAGAACATATTAACGTCTGTGTTAGCGCAGACGTCGTACTTACAGTCTTCGAAGTATTGATCCACTCCAACAACGTGATGACAAGCTAAACGATATGATACATTTAACATATTTTCAGATTTGATTGACAACATTTTATTTTTCAGAATTAAAATTTACAATCGCATGATATTTTACTTTAAAACAATTTAACAGATATGTTCTATTGCCCTCTCACCATCGAAAGGGGCCGCCTTCAAGATTGTACAGGTTTGCTGGGCCATTAGTTTTCGGTGCGAAAAGATATCACAAGGACTTGCAGCGTCCAGAGTGTTTGATATCGCTGGACAGGAGCCCTCTATTACCCACTTGGCCGCAAAACTTGAAGGTTGTTTTTCGATATCTCCAGCTCTCGTCCTGAAGTCAGTCTGGAGATATTGAAAATGTACAAAATAATAGATAATAGCGAAACGATAATGAAAACAATTTGATGTGATTTTATGTTATTTTAAGCTGTTATTACTGTAAATGCAAATCAATTTTGTAATGACAATTAAAACACACCAGTAATGACATAGGCCTAATATCGCTCTACCACTAAGAATCTTAAGCATAATTTTACATTCGGAAAGCAAATCCGGAAAATTACATATAGAAGACTTTAAAGTTAGATACAAATAAGAAGTCGAAGACAAAAATCACAACAGACTTTATACATTAAGACACCAACCTTATTCAGTAAGACGATTTTCAAGTTATTACGATATGAGTACCGAATACCAAGTATGTTCCCAAATACTTGCGAAAAGAAATTCGAAAGTGATTCGGGTGGGAACCACTTCCGAATTTTTTCGCAAGATTTTGGGAATTTTCTGAGTATTCGGTATGATAATACGTCAGGTAGGGCAAAACATTACTCTGATGCTCAAGTTGCTATCACGGGCTACATAGAGATATTAAAACATATTCCGGTATGGAAATAATAAAAATAACAATGAGTCGCGCTAAATTTTAAAATAATTTTGTTTAAATAGACTTTAAACATAATGATGTCTGATATGAACAATCCAAAACCAAAAATATTCTCCGGGATTTTGTTTTTGTTTTTGTTTTTTCTTCAGTCGGATGAATTGTGGTCGACGGTGGAAGGGTTGAGCTATCCGATGAGGGAATTAAAGAAATTTAGATTTTAGACCTAAAAACAAACTAAATTTAGCCATACATCTTTCAGTTTTTATTCGTTAAAAAATATTTTAAAATGGCGCTTTAACTTACTCCTTGTTTACGATCGAATGTGCCACACAAGCCGCACGTTTTAAGATCGCCGAAAAAGCTTGATGGCGCTGTAACATATACTCGCACAAAGCCGTCCCATAAAACTATAAAACCATTGTCTAATATGACCTAAAATCAGAAAAAAAAAATTAGTTCAAAGAGACGTTACTCATCAAACTTTATATCTATACTTGGTCATTTTGCATAATGTACCGTACATTGAAATGTGTTGAGAGCAAAATCTCTGAACAGGTTTAGAAATTGATTGCCAAATCTATCCGCCTCTACAACAGTTCATAAAAGGTAAGTCTTACCTTTATTATTATATAAAATTATCTTTAAGTGTAAGCTACCCTGTAGCTTTTCAACGAATAAAGTCCTATAAAAGTCATTGTGTAATAAAATTCCTCCGACGGGATTCGAACCTGCGACCTCTCGAACCACTAGACCACGAAGGCTTCATGGTTGAACAGGTCCAAATAATCGTCGGGAACATTGTATTACACAATGCTACGCCTCAAGGGGGCGTTCGGCCAGATAAATCTGGCAATACGGCTAGAAATACTGTCGTATATTATATATTAAACACTGTATACGTACCTTTGACGATTTATATTATATATATACATATATATATATATACATATATATATATATATATATATTTCACTTTGTATACTACAGCATAAACTATTAGATAATTGGCCTATAATCCGTCTACATCACTATTGTATTGTATATATTGTACAGTATACAACTTGCAACAGCCAATCTTGTGAATTCGGTGAAGCTGATGAAGGCCAGAGGACTGGCCGATAATTTCTTTCGAAAATAAATACAGTGTTCAACAGTCTACATGCCTTGTTGTCATAATTTTTTGTTTCAACGACTAATATATAATTTGAAGAACACACGTGGATCTACAATGATATATGAATAATTGTGTGTGTTATGACAACAACTTTTTATAAATCCTAGTCATATAAATGTGACATCTAGAGTTTACCCTTTGGTATATGGATGATAATTGTTCAATAAAGACTCCGGGTGCAGAGTGCGGTAGCTCATCTATGTCTTCTCCATTCACCGATACAATGTGATTCTGTCTCATTTTTACCCGTGTTGCTCCCACGTTGACTATCACATACCTACAATAAAGATTAAATGAGAAAAGGAAGAGAATGATTTACTGGATGACATAAAAAGGAAGATTGTTTTTCGACAAAACGACAGGTGGAAATTTTAAAATAGATATACAATGAAAACGACTGTAGACAACTTAAAATATTGCCCTCTATCTAGTGGTTTTCTTACAGGTTGAATTGCGCAAAGAACCACTCTCGTGGTGGATACCGGTGCCAGAAATCGTTATTTATTATTTTCACTATATTATTATAATATTCTATTTCCTCAAAATAAAGCATGAAAACTTTCTAATTTTGACATAGTGACTTACTTGGTACATGAGTAACCTTGGAGTCCACATTTTGTATTTTCCACCTGGATTGAGTAATCAGTATTAAGACCATCACAGCTCTCCACAAGGACATAACTACAATCTCCAACGAAGTTATAATGCTGTCCATCGAATGTCACATAATGAGGGTCACCAACAGCAGAGCATGTTGCTTGACAAATGGTGTCTGTACAATCCCAGCTACCCCCGTCACAAACGCTGGAATGAATTGGGGAAATACAATGATAATAAATACAACAGTTGTATCTAGCCGTGTAGATTGCCTACACAAATCGTTCTAAGAGCTAACAGCTAACTGATTGAGCAGAATTAGTCTTAAACCTAATATTTTATACTCTTTGAATTTTGTGTCGCATATCGCAGAAAATACGTAACTTTACTAGGTTGCAATGGTGGCGCCAGGATTTTGCCAGGGATCCAATATGTCCCTAACGAGAGCGTAAATAGGTGTCTCCACCCTCATTCCTCCCACCCCCACTCGGCTGCTGGCGCCATCCCTGCTAGCGTGGTTAGGAAAACTGAATTTACCATCAACATCTAGGGGCATCAATATTTAGGCTTAATGGGAGAGGGTAGAATTTTATCTGTTCAATCTGGTTTCCTTAAAATCGCAGCTACACTGTCGCTACAGTGTTTTTTAGTGCAATCGTTGTACTGCGTAAAGCCTGGTTTCTAAAAAAAGCGCTACACGCTTTCGCTGACTCCTTTGACGACGTTGATTGGTCAGTCGAATCAGGGAGGTTCTAGATTGCGGTGGCACAGCTACGCAGTGCAAGGATTTCAATGAAAACGCCAGTAACGTCTGTGTAGCTATATCAATCAACACACTGTATTTTTTCATTAAATTTAGAATATTATATATGACTATAACCATACATACCTTTAGTGACCTACAACAGAGTGAGCTCATTGTTAATGTAAAAAATCTGATATTTTTACAATTTTTCTTCACTTTTTGTAACAAGGTTAGATAATAATTTGCTCAGCTCAGCTATACAAATGTATATTTAGTATTGCATTTGCACCTGTAGGCTAAGTTCATAAATTTAATATTCACTAGTTTTTTTCTTTTCAATTATCTTGCATGATTAGATAATATTAGAGACAACAATAAAGTAAACTGACAATTAGTTTTCATTAATGTTCCTATGAACAAACGAATGTCAATGAAAATTAAAAGCCAATACATTTAATTGAACAGCATATAGATATGCCGAATTACCATGTGTTGCAGCCGTTGTCAATAGAAATGGTTGATCCAGCTGAATATTCTCTCTTTTGGTAAGTGCATGGGCATTGGGAAGGTTCTACGCATGCGTTGTTATTAAAAACCAGGTGATCTGGACAATGGCATCCGTCAATGCAATGGTCGTCAATACAATCATAAGTAGTACTCTTGCAAGTCAAAGGACACGATGTGCCACACTGTTTATAAACCATCTGAGATGGACAAGACAGCGCTGTTGACAATAATATGTAGCTATATTAAACACGTAGTTATGTTAATAAGGAATTATTATTTCATATTTTTCAAGTTAATAGAGTAATCATACATTCTTTGCATGCATAGACCTATATCTCTTTATTTTTATAATTGTTGTGCAAGGTCTACCACTACTCTACAGTGGTATTGAGCACTGTTTTTTGATCAATTGAACTTTTTGACTTATGCTAAATATGATAATAAATAATATCAAAACATGATAATAATAACATGTTCATATAGCAATATACTCGCTCCGTTTACTTTTACCATATTATGTCTATAGAAAATTATGTCAAAACAGTCCACAAAGTTTAGTAATGTCCGGTTTTCTATCAAACTAATTAGAGCAATAAAATTATATTTACGACATCGTTCCTGTTTTCTCCACTCCACAACAACTTGCTTCCTTGCGCACTCCCTGGCGTACGCCTCGTATGCATTACAAGCACAGTCAGACCGTGATAAATCACAATTGCAGACGTCTTCTCTACAAGCGTCGTAATAAGGCTTGGAATTTACAAGCTGAAAATTGAAATATATAAACCATAAAATGAAGAAAATCATATGTGTGTTTCGAATACGATTTCACAGATACTTAGACTTCATGTTTGTAAACACAAGCGGTCGGTTAGATCATAAAATTTTAGTAGTTGCCCACACGTTACAAACAAAGAAAGGATTACCTACGGAGCAACGATTTGTTTGACTTACCAGGTGACATGCGCTAAACTCAGCCCCCGACCTGATAGGTTCACAAAGGTTTAAAGCTCTATCACGTGATGTGACCGACTTACAGTAAGAAACTTGATTCATTGCCACACAATCTACCGAAATCAGAAATATTCAATATTTTCCACTGATTTATCAAGAGAAATAGTTAAAGATGTAAAAACTCCAAAAATACTGCATTAAACATAACAGCAGTCTACTTTAGTTACTTACCCTCTGGATTCATTGTGTATTCAGAAGCAAAAGATGTCGGTGATTGTGAGATGGTGCCATCTCGCATCATAAAGTCATCTTCTGGATCATCGGTGTACGTTCCACAGAGACCCTTTGTTTTGGTGAATAACTCATAACCGGCAGTGATGTAAAATGCTTCCTCCCCGTCCCAACGCAGATCAAATCCATAGCTACTGCGCACTATGACATAATTAGATATCATCTCAATTTCCAAGCCATCAAATGCAGTTGGCAGAATTTGAAGCTCAGAATTTCTAATAACCACTGGAGAATCGTCAGATTTTCGCAGAATTACTTCAACACTGGAGATGTAAATTGCCAACGACCTGCTGCATGCCATCGCTGGAGTGCAGTCGTCGTCATTCATTATATGAATTTGGAAAGTGCTGTCTGCGGCATCATCTAGCAGCAAGTAGTGACAGGAACCATGGAAGCTGTAGATTTTCCCATCAAAGGTTCGGTACTGATCCTGAGACCAAGTAGTACAATACCCATCCGGTTCTTGGTTAATGGTAGCTGTATCTGCTATGTGGTATTTAGTAAAAAGATTATTGTATAATAAAGAATTAGATTAAAATTATATCAAATCAAAATTAAATCACAATTTCTTTACTTCTACAATTTCATAACGTAAGAATAAATACAGAACGATATCAAGTGAAAGTAATGAAAACATTTTAAATGATACAGGATGCCGCATGAAGCAAGAGCTTTTAACACCCCTTAAATCAGCTAGACAAATACCGGTATAAAAAATTATTTTAAATAAAACAATAAAATTAAAACAAGGAAACAACAATGGAAGATAACACGGAAACCATCTTAAGAATCTAAACAAGATCACAAATTATACAATTAATAAGGAAGCATCTATTTACGTCACTCTTATGGTACCGGTAATCACATAAGTAAAGGTTTTTGAGTTTTCTTTGGAACATATTCACACATAACACTAGATCCAATATACCTACATAATATCGTTCCAGGCTTTTGGCCCTTCATATGATATTCCTTTTTGACCCATTATCGTATTTTTCTTTAGGATATACAAATTATCTTTGTTTTCATAGGTCTGGAAAAAGTTAATGGCACTTGTCCTTTACTACATTAATATTGAAATCACTTCAACGCTGTTTTATTAAGATAAAAAAGAAATTAAAGAATTAAGCTTCTTTGCTTCTTTGAATCAGTCGCATCACTAAACTCACCTGTATCGGGATCTATCGACTTGTTTATTCCAACCGTGGTGGCAGTAAATTCTGGATGCAAAATTTATAGAAAGTGATGAAATGTGTGAATTAAATTAACATTATATCAAAATGCGTTGATATCGATTACAAGGAATTCAGCTTAATTTTCGAATTTCATAGTATACACTATATAATTCCATTGTGAAACCTTAACAATGAAAAACAAAGTTGATGAAAATGCTGTATATGCCATGTGTGTATTTCTTTGTATTTTCTTTTCGTGTAATAAGTACAATACAGTACAAATGTTAATTAGATAGTAATACGTTATAACGGAGTTAATGACGTTACTTCTTATTATGGATGCCGTTCTTGTAAATGTGTAATCGCGATTATATTTCTTTATTGAAATGATTGATTGATTTTATAGTATAATATTCATGTTTTACTTGTCTAGACTATTAAGAATTCAGCTATTAAGTACAAATATACACACTTTTTTGTGTGACCCCTCCCTCTCCTCAAAAGAGTACGGTACATACTAAAGTGACTATTTTTTGCGATACACTTTTACTTCTCTCCCCTAGACTATGTTTTGTACTCTCGTGAAAATGATGAAAATATATGGATTGCCCTTAATTAAGTGGCAATTTTTTTTATATTAAATAGGCAACTGTGCATAATGAAACAGTATTCTAATGACCATATATAATATTATTTAATTGCTAATCTCATAGAAAAATAGGTATGAGCTACCTTGGCAATCAGGAATGGGTAGTTCTGGACTCCAATTCCCGGTTGCTGGCTAGATGTGTATTAGAGAGTGCATGTGTATACATCGCTGCCTGATATGGTATAGCCAGAAACACATCCCACTCGGCATACAAAGCTGCTACCCTCAAACCCACAACTGATGGAACCCTTCAGCGGTGCTGGTGGATTCGTGCAATGCTGCTCAGCTACAGTAACATAGAAAAACGCAGGTGGTTATTAGAATGATAGAAAATAAACATCACAGTGAACTTCTCACACAACTATTTGATTTACAAATGATCGGGCCTATATGTAAATGTCCATTTGGATTTGATTTGATTTGATTTATTCGATATCAACAGAAAAACATCACAAAATCGGAAAAACAATAAACAGAGAAACAAAAAAGAAAAAACAAACAAGTCATCATTGTTGATATCTAGGATAACCCTCTAAATCTCAACACAGGATTTATTTCCAGAGGGGTCCCAAAATACACAAAACAGACGACACCAAAAAATAGACATGAAAAATGAGTTAAAATCAACAAGCAAGAATAAAGTATTCCAGAGAACAGAGGCAAAAACCGAGATCTTATGCAGTTAAAATAGTCATTATTAATTTATTAACCGATTAGTGAGGGGAGACATGACATGAGATGCTCCTTAACTCGAATTTTGAAGGTGTTGTAATTTGAAATTGCTTTTATTGCATCAGGCAGACAGTTCTAATCATGGATTCCAGAATAAAAGAAAGTAGAAGTGATTTTGCCTTTGGTCTTTGGAACGTGAAAGTTAAAAATACTGCCCCTTGTATTGTGACGATGAAGATTGGATAATTTGGTGAAATTGTCATTTAAATGTTCAGGGCAGGAACCATTAACAATTTTAAACATAAGGTTGAGTCTTAATTGAGAAGCTCTAGAGGGGCCTTCATTTAAAATAAATCTAATAGTTTTATTTTGCGCTATCTGTAGCTTTTTCTTCAGGCCCGATGAAATTCCACAATACCACGATGAAACAGAATAATCAAATATGCAGTATATGAGGGCAGAACAAATGATTTTCCTTACCTTGCTATTAAAACACTTAGCTTGCCTATACAAAAATTTTAACCTGGCATTGACTTTTCTTACAATACTGTCAACAATAGTGTCTGCAGAAAGTGTGTTATCTAATTCTAGACCAAGATATTTGACTTTGGGAGATGCAGCAATAATATGACCTTTGCATGTAATATTTATGTTTATGGATTCCTTCACCTTAACGGAAGAACCAAAGAAAATTAGCTTAGTCTTTCCAAATTGTAGCGACATTTTATTGTCTAGAAGTCAGTCGACACAGCCTTCAAGGTCTGAGGTTAAGGTGTGTTATGACATCAAGAGACTTATCAGAATAGATCAATGCACTGTCGTCTGCATACTGAAGAAGTAAACATTTTTTACGGCAGTGGGCATATCCTTCACAAAACATAGAAACAGCAGTGGACCGAGGATGCTCCCCTGTGGGACACCATAATCTATAGGCATGGGTTTCGAGGGCGAGTTATTGACATAGTCTACTTGAGACCGATTTGAAAGATATGATTTAAACCACCCCACTGACTTGACACCGAGAGCATTCAGTTTGTTACATACCATCGTCAACACTGTCAAAAGCCTTTTGAATATCAAGCAAAATCATGCCCACGTGAAGACCCGAAGACAACTGAATTCGTATATAAATTTGTAAATAAATCAAACAAAAATCAGTTGAATATCTCCCCCTAAATCCAGATTGGAATGTATAGATTATGTTGTGCGCAGAGAGATAACAATTGATTGATTGATTGTTTCTGTTTTGAAATTGTTGTTAGCTAGATGGATCGTAAGTAAAGGACGGTAAGCAAATAAAATGAGTTACAATTGATTAATCAGTCTCCAGTCTAATAAGCCTACTGGGCCCTTTCAATCCTCAAGCCACATTCGTCACGATAATATTTCCGCGCCCGGGCGTTACCCCCTGGATCACTTACGGAAGATTTGAGCGACGTCAAACAACGCCCACTTATCTTCTCGTCTGGGACCACCCCCCCCCCCACACGTCGAAAATATCTGACCTCCCATCAGGCAAATCCTAGCGCGACCCTTGCCTAATTCAGGTGCAGTAATGGATATAATATGAAATTGGGAAACATTTTGCAAGCTTACTTGTTTGACAGTAGCTACCACTAAAGCCTGGGAGGCAGGAACAGGAGCCTGGGGAGGTGCATGAGCCTCCATTCTGACAAGAAATCTTACAAACAGCTGAAATGAAATAAGTCGTTTCCATCAAAAGTTCACAATCTTGATAATGCAACTTTCATTGTTAGAAAATTGAATTCTTCACAAAATGACACTTTTGCTTAAAATGTGGTACGTACATATTAAATATTATTTTCAGCAACTGGTTTCCACGGCCAACCTTTACTCACACTATGCGACTTAGAAGGGAGAAAAGATATGGACATCATGGTATAACTACAACTAGATTTAAAAAAGGTCCCCTTCCATATCTCACAGGCTTACTTGAATCTATCTAATAATAATTAAACAAAATATAATTGGAATTTTTAACACAGTAATTAGTAATTTTTTTCATCGAGTAGTATACTGTCCTCCTAGCAAACCTGCTTGTTTATTAGGTACAGTAATTCTATTTTTGTATTTGACTGGGGTTTTTTTATATTTTTGTAAATAAATGGGGTTTAATCTATTTTTGTATGTGACTTGGGTTTGTATTTTTTAATTGATGTTTCTCATTGGCTGTTTGTGAAGAGTGTCCCCAATTCAGCTTTTAACTGCTAACAACTCTATTTTGCCAACCTGATTTTATTTTTTTTTTTGTAAAATTTTGAATAAAGATACCGAGATATATATATTCTAATCTAAACATTTGTAAGTTGAAGCAAATTGCTTTTATTGTAATATTAGCATCCTACGTTCACAGTCTGGCAATTGAGCATAAGGTGACCAAATTCCTTCATTGTTTTGGCATGTAGTAGTGATAGTCTCGTCACCCCCGGGAAATGCATATCCGTCTTCACAGGATGCAGTGCAAGTACTAAAAAACAAATACATAAATATATATATCGATTCATCTATTTGGCTATCTGGGTTTAAGAATTTAAAGAACATAGAGTTATTATTGACAACAGTTATAATCAAGGGCGCAGATCTATTTTGAAAGGTGGGGAACAGTCATGAGTCCACACCAACCTTCGAACCACCATCAATTGGGTGATGTGCGAACATTTAAAAAAATAGTACCTCTAGATGGCCGAAACGACGCTCTTTCGTTGAAACTTGTGTGATTTATGCAGTTCATTTCAACAGTTTCCAGGCATCTTCTTGTCTTATGAAATTACAATGCGGTCGAAAAGTGGGGGAACCAACCCCCCCCCCCCCTTAAAAATATGTGAGGGGACTTGTCGCCCCGTCCCCTATTATCTGCGCCCATGATGTTCCTAAAAACGTTCTTCATTCTTTTACAAAACATACGCTGATGATCCGTAAACACAGAGAAATATCGTTAATAAATAGTAGTACAGTAGTAGGCCTACAGGCTATCAATGACATATTCAAATGGGCATATGCTAAATATCACATATTCAATTACTTAAATTAGCGTTGTTTTCGCTGGATAAAATATGAAATGAAATATGAAAGAGTAAAGTGATATTTCTTACCTTTCCTTCGTCTGAAACGTGCATGAGAACAAACCATTTATTGGCTGATTTAATCCTATGCACAGATTTTCATTTGGTGCTAAAAAGATAATATAAATAGTATAAATATCAATTATACTCTACTTTAAAAGAGGAGAATACAATATGAAGTACAGTACTCTATATTATGTAACGTCGAACCTCTCTAGTTGCGTGATACTTGCATTGTCCTAAATCATTAATTCTAGGACTATGCACATAATTTGAATCGACATTTGACAAGTTCCTTAACGATAATTCCCCAGTATCATTTTAGAATGATTTTAGTAATAATTTTCTTGTTTTTTAACTACCTTATGGGTATCAGTTGATAATTCATGGGACGGATTTTTGGATATCCTCTCTGCAATTATTCGCGACTCTGTTCCATTGAAATCCAGTAAAAAGAGGAAACATTCTCCTTGGGTTACCAGTGACATCAGAAAATGCATTAATAAAAAACATAGATTGTTTAGAAGGCGAAGCGCATTGGCTCAATAGCTGCTTGGAATGAATACAAATCTATCCGTAACGTAGTTAAACGAATGTGTAATAAGTCATATTACTCTTAAGTTAACAAACTTTTTACCAGCGATTACACGCGTAAAGCTTTTTGGCACTTTATTAGAGAGCGTAAACGCTCACCTGTCCCCCTGTCCTTTAACATTAATGGCTCGCACGTATCTTCACCCTCTGTCATCGCTAACTCATTTAATGATTTTTTTGTTTCTGTCTTTGGTCCTCCTACTCCCTTGTGTCGATCCTCCTGCATGTAACGTTCCCATTCCCGAACTCTTTCATATTAACTTTGATGTTCACACTGTCGAAAATGTCATTAGTGGCTTATCATTAAATAAATCACCTGGTCCTGACTCTGTCTATCCATTCATACTAAAGTCTGCTTCTGGATTTATTGCCCCTCCCTTATTTAACTTATTTAACATGTCACTTACGAAGGGTAAAATCCCTACTGCCTGGAAGGTTTCACACATTACTCCCATATATAAATCCGGCGACAAGTCCTCTATTTGCAACTACAGACCAATTTCTCTTACCCCACTTTTTTCCAAAATTCTTGAAAAATAATTTTTACTGGTATATCCAATCACGTTGCTTATTGCTGTCCAATCAGCGATTCTCAACATGGATTTTTCTCTTCCCGGTCCTGTGTTACCCAACTTACAAACTTGATACATTCCTGGGCATCTTCCCTCGATAAACCTAAGCCTCCTCGAACTGAAGTTGTCTTTTTGGACTATGCTAAAGCGTTTGATAAACTTCCCCACCACATTGTGTTAAATAAACTGGCTACTCATTTTAACATTAGAGGTAATGTACGGAAATGGATCAAGTCTTTTCTTTTAGGTCGTTTCCAGCGAGTCCTGTACCAAGGTGCCACTAGCCAATCATCCCCTGTTTCTTCTGGAATCCCCCAAGGAAGCGTTCTCGGTCCTCTTATCTTCAATCTTTTCATTAATGATCTTCCTACTTTTCTCCTCTCCCATTGCGCTTTGTTTGCTGACGATACCATTATTTACAAAAATATTTTCTCTGTTGACGACGAACTTGCTTTTCAGTCCGATTTACATCGTCTCACTTCCTGGTGTGATTTAAACGAAATGGAACTTAATCTAAATAAAACTAAAATTATCCACATTACTCGTTCAAAAAAAGAATATCGACCAGTTTATCATCTAGCTGGTTCACCTATACATGCTGTGTTGAATCATTGTCATCTTGGGGTTACAATTAACTATAAACTTACTTGGGACGACCACGTTAACAAAATTATTTCCCGTTCGAACAGAATGCTGGGTTTCATTGCCAGCACCGGTGGTGGTGGCTCCTCTCCTTCTGCCATTTTCTCACTTTAGAAAGCTCTTGTTGTTCCTATACTTGAATACGGTGTCTCTTCCTGGTTGCCTCATACGAAAATACTTGTAGACCGTATTGAGGCAGTTCAGCGAAGGGCTATTAGACTTGTCCTTAAGCAGAAAAAAGGCGAATGTGAGTACGAAGATCGTCTCATTAAACTCAACTGGCCTAGTTTATCTGCTCGCAGAAATTTTCTTCTGTTATCGTTTGTAAGTCGCTTACTGGCGTTGTTGATTGTAGTAGTAGCATCCGTCAGTTCATACTTGTAAATAGTCGCCATCGAGAGACGCTTTTGTTTAGACACCTTTATGCTAGAACTAACTCTCTTCACCTTTCTGTCATTCATCTGTTCCCCAGACTTTGGGAAAAACTCCCTGAAAATATTTAAAATTCCCTTATCCTTGATTCCTTTCCTACTTTTTTGCGCTCGCTTAAATCGCATGTCTTATGTTATAGCCACTCCGCTTAGATACTTTTGCGCCGCGTACCGGATGGTTCTTTCTTTTTTCATCCCCGTTTCTCTTTCTTTTCTGTTTTGTTAAACTGTTTGATCTTTATTGTTTTAATTACTCGATTTCTTGTCTGTAAGAGTTTATTTATATCTATAAATCTATATATTTATTGTTATGTATTGCTACTCAGGGAGTATGGAATCTTAACTTTGTTACAGTGATTTAGTTCACTTTTTCGTTCCTGCCTACTCCCTGAGTTGACTGTATGTGTTTGTTGTTGTATTGTTTCTGGAAATAAAGAATAAGAATAAGAATAAGGATAAATAAAGCTACAAATCTGTCTTATTTTACACAAGTCACTATAATTTGTATTGGCCTTCTTAAATATTGCTATATATCAAAGGATTCAAACCATTATGTTTCATACTTTTTACAGACATTTTATTTGAAACTACTAAAATCAGTTAACAGTGAATTATCCAATCATATAGGCCTATGGACCATTGGTTCTTAGAACACCATACTAACATAGATTGTAACTTAAAACATAAAATATCTGTCTAAAGTTACCGTAAAGCACAGAATTGTTGAACATAACCAGTAATGCTGGTAGATAACATAGCCCCACTATATCATGAGAATATCTAAAATGATAGGCTTATAAAATACTTTTTGTGACAAAAAACTATGGGAGCGCAGGACTCGTTGATAAATGTTTTTGTAGACAGTAGGTTAGGCCTACCTGATTATTATGTAGAAGATCTACCACTACTAATTGATAAGGTGACCATTAATGGTTAATGTTTTGTGTATTAGAAAGACGTTTTCTGTTGGGCATCAAGAATGTACCGTACTTTTATGCTGTTGTTTTGAATAGGAAAATTAAAAAATGAAAAAAAACTTATCTTTTCTTGTCTTGTCTTAAAATAGTTTGTTCAATATTTAGGCCTATTTTGCAAAATTTGAATGTAGATGCTTGTAAAAATATAAAAATATCACCAAGAGTCTTCCTGATCGTTTTTCAAATTTAATTTATGCATGTACGCCTATAGTAGGACCTTCCGATCCTCCTTCAGTCTAATGGGGTCTGTTAAAGTTCTAATGCTCAAATGTGGATGTGTATTCACATAGCCGGTAGGCATGATCGTCAAACATAATTTAGAGAGGCTCGACCCGACGTTGTTGTATTAAGGTGTTGGAGGACTACCTCCAGATAATCTGAATAATACACAAAATTTACACGATATGAAAATGATAATCTAGTTGCCATACCTGATCGTTCATACACCGCATCAACCCCGAGGTCTTCGTTACTAAAGGAAAGACAAAGAAAACAATTACGGAACCATGCAGCCTTATTTTGGTTTAGAAATTGTAGTTTCAGAAAATACTTAGCACAAAACCAAATGGCTTACCTTCGTACTGTAATGTCTCCAAATGCCATTTTCGTAGAAGAATGAACCGTTAGAATAGTTAGCAGAACGCGCAAAAGCGCCATTGTATAATGACGTCTACCGTGTGTAGTTGCCTTTACTTATTTCTTGCAATCAATTTCGTAATTTCTAGACCTATAACTAAGCCGAGAATAACCATATGTGGTTTGGTTCTTCTCCTCTTATAGAAGTTCCAAAACAAAGGTTACACATTTTAGGTCTACAGATGTTCACTATATTGACATGACTTTCGCAAATAAATACTTGAAAACACATGACAGCCAGATCCACAAACACACATTGCGTATTATACTGCTCATATTCATCGATTTAAATTTTTTTTTTTTTTATCTCTTTGGCAAATAAGAGGCCTACAGTTTACAGGTGCAAGATACAGTCTCCGGATGTTGAGAGACCGAGTATTGTTGTGTCACAAAGAAATGCATACCAATGTAACAGAGAAAAATATGTTATGGGGACACCTTCAGGACCAAAAGTGTCCCCTTAATAGGGGTTCAATTGTATTGATTTGACCATTTTTCACACTCAGAAAGTGTTCCCGTCCCTTCAATAGGGGTGTCCCAAAGGAGGAGTTCTACTGTATTGCAAAGGTCGTGATGAACCGTCTAATTATTTTTTAAGATCACATTTTCCTTAGTTACTTTATTTATGAGAGACTAGTATGTTACTCGTGAGTGTAATAAGCAAAATAATACAAAGGGTACGGTTGGGGCAACTGATTTTTCATACTCGCAAATACATCTTTAACGTTGTTTAGTTTTAAGGCGTATGTGGATTTTATAAGTCCGCAATGACGATATAACGTGTTCTGTTACTGATAAAAAAAAAACTACTGTTTTCTGAAAGTTTTAGTTCTCGATTTAGCTTTTACTTAACAATTTTCCGGTTTGGTATATATATAGGCTGTCTCTTATACACATCTAGATGTGTATAAGAGACAGCTGTCTATCCATTCATACTAAAGTCTGCTTCTGGATTTATTGCCCCTCCCTTATTTAACTTATTTAACATGTCACTTACGAAGGGTAAAATCCCTACTGCCTGGAAGGTTTCACACATTACTCCCATATATAAATCCGGCGACAAGTCCTCTATTTGCAACTACAGACCAATTTCTCTTACCCCACTTTTTTCCAAAATTCTTGAAAAATAATTTTTACTGGTATATCCAATCACGTTGCTTATTGCTGTCCAATCAGCGATTCTCAACATGGATTTTTCTCTTCCCGGTCCTGTGTTACCCAACTTACAAACTTGATACATTCCTGGGCATCTTCCCTCGATAAACCTAAGCCTCCTCGAACTGAAGTTGTCTTTTTGGACTATGCTAAAGCGTTTGATAAACTTCCCCACCACATTGTGTTAAATAAACTGGCTACTCATTTTAACATTAGAGGTAATGTACGGAAATGGATCAAGTCTTTTCTTTTACTATGGCCCACTGTGGGCTAAGCTGTCTCTTATACACATCTAGATGTGTATAAGTAAACAACCTAATTGTGTATGTGTTGGTTATTTACTCTTTTGTATGACATGGCGCACCAAAACATAAATATGTTGTCTTATTATTATGCTCTGCCAAAACATTGTATCTTCCTCTCTTGTACAATACAATCGAAATTCCTATGAAACCATCCGTATTTGAATTGCGTGCCAAACAAGGTGAATAACCATGTAGTTTGGTTCTTCTCCTCTTAGAAATAGAAATTCCAAAACAAAGGTTACACATTTTAGGTCTACAGATGTTCGCTATATTGACATGACTTTCGCAAATAAATACTTGAAAACACATGACAACCAGATCCACAAACACTCATAGCGTATCATACTGCTCATATTCATCGATTTAATTTTTTTTATCTCTTTGGCAAATAAGAGGATTACAGTTAACAGGTGCAAGATACAGTCTCCGGATGTTGAGAGACCGAGTATTGTTGTGTCACAAAGAAATGCATACCGGTACCAATGTAACAGAGAAAAATATGTTATGGGAACACCTTCAAGACCAAAAGTTTCCCCTTAATAGGGGTTCAATTGTATTGATTTGACCATTTTTCACGCTCAGAAAGTGTTCCCGTCCCTTCACATTCTCCTTAGTTACTTTATTTATGAGAGACTAGTATGTTTTGATATACTGTTATAGTTTTTTTTAATGTAAAGTACTGTAATTTGTTTTATTTATATTACAGAAGGCCAAGTTAAAATACATTCACAGAACGTTTCCTTTTTTCTGTACAATTACCGTGAATTCATTATTGTTATGTCGTGCATCAGTCTACATGCATAAAGTCTTATAAACTGATGTGACATATGCCTTTATGTTGATCAGGAATAAAGATGAATGGAGGACCCGCCATTAAAATCCATTCCTCTTTTTGTAGTTCACTACCCTGAAACAAATTAGTGGAGCACATTTAGGTCAGATTGACAAATCCGTCTGTAGCGGTTCACTTTGAAAAAGTGGCGTATAATTATTTTATGGCTTATAATGGTAATATCGAAGATGGATTGATGTTTTAGAAATACCAGCACTATTTAATGCGGCCCGTATTTGTATGTGTTGGTTATTTACTCATTTGTATGACATGGCGCATCAAAACATAAATATTATGCTCTGCCAAAATATTCAAAAACAAAAACGTATTCTTGTATCTTCTGGCGAGTCGAGCGGCCGAGCGGTAAGGCAGGGGCACCGCTAGCTACAGCCTTAAAATCGGCGCTGGTTCGAGCCGCTCCTCGCCCATGGTTCGGTGGTAGAACTAAGTCTTCTCGGATAAGGACTTAAAATGGAGGTCCAGTGTATACATCTGGCTCGTGTGCACTTTAAAGAACCCACTGCATCTTTCGGAAGAGAAGGGGTTACCCCGATGTTATGGTTCATTTCAGCCCCTGTCGTTGTGCAATGATGTGAACATGTATCTACCAAGAAGCGCCTCTTTACGGCTGCTAGGTAGACACGAACCACGCCCATACGCAATTCAGCACAATGATGCTGCAAGTTATGGGTTATTCTCCTACATTTACCTTTCCTCCCTTGTACAATACAATCGAAATTTCAATGAAACCATCCGTCTTTGAATTGCGTGCCAAACAAGGTGAATTGTACCAGGTCATTAAAACTAAGTCAGCATTATCCTTGGTTTGTTGTTTATATTTCCTTTGTTTTCTACAATACAGAGCTTTTGTGGTAAATTCGAACTAAATTGAAGTGGTAACGAGGCATCTCTTTTGATATTGTTCACACCATTAATATATTTAATGCCACTGTTCTACAAACATACCTGCTTGAAAACGTCGATATCTACAAAACTGTTTCCTAAGCATGTTTATGTTGACATTATTTCCCACGTTGATTCTGAGGTTGAAAAAGGGGTAATGGTTCAGCAACGAACGTTCTACAAATATTGGAATACCAATTGTTGATCAAATGCATTCGAAGAAATGCCCGTGGGAATGAAAGTCCAGTCTATGGTCCACTGTGGGCTAAGTATTCAATTCTATACAACTGAATTATACAGTAGAACCCCTCCTATAGAGGGGACACTTTACCGTGAAACGAGGGGAAATATATCTTTTAACACTACGGCCAACCCCTATTAAGGGGACACATTTTTGGCATTAAAGGTGTCCCTTAATTGGGGTTCTACTGTATTCAACCTGCTTGCAACAATATCTATTTCAGATACATTGGTTGATTTGATGTGAACAGTGAATGGAACAATTAACTTTGTTTTCATATCTGGCGCAATATAAACCTCAGTGATTGGTTGAGTAGATCAGGCCACAAAAATCTGAACACAGAAATTAGAATATTTCAAATATGTTAATTTTACAGCCAAAAATGATATATGGCAACCATATATTTCAACCTAATTTGCATAATTCAGTTAATTTGCACATGTTCCCGATGTGTGATTTGTGAAATTTCATCCCTCATTATATGTATTGGTTAAAAAAAGAAAAATCTTTAACGTATAATGACAGAAGCTTCTCCTCAATTGGGCCGACCCTCTGGAACACACTTCCATTGGAAATATCAAATTCACCAAACATTGGCTTTTTTAAAAAGGCCCTAAACACTTACCTCTTCATACAGTATGGTTAACTTTATGAAAAGGCATCTTCAGTGCTTTGAGGCTATTTTTTAGCTTTAGGCGCTTTATAAATTTATTATACTTATGTACTCAATGTACACATTTTCAAAATTCAATAATTTCTATGCTCAAGTTTTCGGTTGCCGTAAGTGCTCGAATACGCACCACGAACAAAAGTAAGCAAACACCAGGAAGCATAATTTCAGACATTTATTACAAAACATTGAAAATATCATTTGTTTATGTTTCCATTTAAGTGATCAACTACAAAATAAAAAATGAATCGGAATTCTATCAAACTAAAGCAATACATGTGTATGAGTGCCTATAGAAAAAGTATTAATTAAAGACTTTATCATGAAATTTTTTTGTAAATAGTTTGAATACACCATTTTACATCTTAAAACATTACAAACAGTGGTAATTTGGCATCATTCTATAGCTACAAACACTTCTTTCTATTTTCTTTAAGTCTGTATTATTTGATTACGATATTAGGCAAAACTGTTATGCTTGCAACTGCTTGCAATTGCATTTTACATTTATATTTGTAAGGAAATGACAGCTATTTTCGTTTATACTACATAGAGGGTCACAGCATCGCGTGACAAACTGACATGTGATATAATAATACCTAGTTTTTATCATTATTAGATAGTAATGTGAGCTAATATTTCACAAATACTGTAATATCTGGAAAATAGCTTACATTAAAATAATTTTAAATAAACTTATTCAAAGTATCTTTCAACATACATTTAATCACCAAATAAAGCCGAACTTTTTATGAATATAAAAGTGATTACAAAATTCCTTGAAACAATATGAAACTTGAAGCACATCTATAGCGGTTAATTATAAATTGCACGATACTGGCAAACATCTTGTTGCATTTTTCTAAAGTCATATACAGTATAGCAATATTGTCCAAATATACAGTAATCTATTACTACAGAAATTATATTTTGTGTAAACTGATGAGCCTGGAATGTCAGTACCTAACTTCTGTCTGCAATTATTTAAATTAAACTTTGTAATTCAAAACACTTTGGAATTATACAATAACACCAAAAACAAATTAAAAGCACAACATAGGCCTATTGATTTGATTTGAAACAGATTAATAGTAAAATGTCAATGTACAGTAGTTCATAGATTTGGTTTCTGTACATATTATAGCTTCCTAATTGATACAAATTATTTATGCAAAAATCATTGTATGTTCTGAAATTGATCACAATGATAAAGGCTTTTGCATTCCAAACATGAATAACAATAATAATAATAATAATAACAATCATAATAAGTAAGTCTTTATATAGTCTCAGAGCGCTTTTCCACATTATTACCCCAGTCATTGGAAAGATGCCTACGAGGGTAAGTCCACAGTTTGCCACTTGAAATATATCAGCGCATTTTGCACTCGGAACATCCTCAGGTACCCATTTATACTCCTAGGTGGAGAGGAGCAACGCAAATAAAGTGCCTTGCTCAAGGCCACAGGTGAAATAAACAGTGAGGGATTAAAGCCCAACCTCGAGGTTGGGAAACCAAACCGTTCCCATTGCACCTAACCACTTCCACCATGAATATGACAGTTGTGACTATATTGTAAGACTGGGTTCAAAAGTTTGCCTAGCAGATAAATTAAACTACTATACAGCATATTTAATATGATGCAAAAAGAGCAATTACATTTAGTATACTTCTAAGATGTTACTCCAAAGAGTATAACATAAATCACATGTTATAGACTTAAACATATGATTTACTTCAAACTTATCATTTAATGCTAATAGACAATTTTACTAAATGATCTCAATTAAATTTGTGTTTGTTAATTTGCTAATACAGTTATATATAAATTTATATTTTATTTACAAGTAAATATTTATCTATATAATGTGCTTGCATACATATTAGAAGCGATTTACTTTGTGGGCGGATCAAAACTTTTTTATGTTAAACTGAAAGAATTGAATTATTAAATACTATAATCACATTTTATTTAGAGATAACATATATGACTCTACTTAATATCTACTACAGCATTTGAGATTATATATTATTATATATCATTGGCACTGAATCTAACTACAAGATATAAAAATATGGAGCTTTGTACAATGAAATAATGTTATTTTGGAAGATCAATTGAGATAATCAGTGTGAATCAGGAAGGGATATTTTGGTGTAACAAAGATAAGCTTTGTTAACAAATACAACAAGTTGAACAATAATTATGTTTTTATATCCTTGGTCAATAGTAAAAAAAAATGTCCAAAACAGTGTAATTCATTAGAAAAAATAGTAATTTAAAAATGTATAAATTTTTTTTAAATTAAATTTTGCATGATTTATTACATTTGGATTTGTATATTACACTTTGATGATATTCATAGCAAATAGAAGCCTATTTGGACATGTTTTTGTCAACTGTTTAATGCTTGGACATTAGGATAAATCATGAACTAAATTCAACTTTATAGAAAATATGAGATTGAACATAATGTCATCACACACTTAGAGTCAAACAGGATATTAAATATTCATGGTCAGCAGTTGAATACTCATAAGCCAGTTCTAACACAGTAGCTAGGCTGCAATCTATGGGTGTGCTAAAAGCAGATCTTCTCCATTTTTTACAAATACAGGGAATGTAACCTGTGATTTCTCTAGACGAATACGACGTTGCTTCTTGCCTAGCTGGCAGTTCAACTCTGAATTTATTATTACTTTTAGATCTGAGTTCCTTGTCCTATGGAAATAAAACAAAAAACAATAAACATAAAACATAAAACAATAAATAAATGTATATTATGCAACAAGAACAAAACATTAGCTATGCCAACACTATGGAGTAACTGGACAAAATATTTGATACAGTGGTAATGAAAACATATATATAACATGTTAAAAATATATTCAGGAGAGAAGACAAAGTTTTTCATTCCATTTCCACAATCCCACTTACTGGGCATACTGTACTCAGCAATAAACCACCATAAAGTGATTACATAAAAAAATCATAAGATTCAGTGGTAATGAAAACATATATATAACATGTTAAAAATATATTCAGGAGAGAAGACAAATTTTTTCATTCCATTTCCACAATCCCACTTACTGGGCATACTGTACTCAGCAATAAACCACCATAAAGTGATTACATAAAAGAATCATAAGATTCAGTGGTAATGAAAACATATATATAACATGTTAAAAATATATTCAGGAGAGAAGACAAATTTTTTCATTCCATTTCCACAATCCCACTTACTGGGCATACTGTACTCAGCAATAAACCACCATTACATAAAAGAATCATAAGAGACTTGAAAGTATAATACATACTCCAAGTATTGAAATACACGCCATCATGTTGGGATTCAATATTTCGACATTAATTATGTCGTCATCATTCCTGATGATGACATAATTAATGTCGAAATATTGAATCCCAACACGATGGCGTGTATTTCAATACTTGAAGTACGTATTATACTTTCTTATCTGAGATTAATCAGTGGACCTTTCGGTTTTTTATAAGAGACTTAGTATACAGTATGTATTGAATCTTGTCTGTCTTGTATGTTTGCCTTGTGAAAGGGATTGTCACCTATGTCCTTAGGACAGTCATAATCTTTGGCCCATGTGCATCACTATGAATAATCAGAATTTCATTTGCATACAGCAAGTACAGGACTGAGATTAATGATAAATTAGTACTAAAATTGTCTCACTTTTTAAATACTTTCATTCTACCTTTAAAAATTAAGCACTTACTGTGTCCAGTGTCTGCACAGAGTTCCAACAAATTCTCCAACTCTATTCTCTTGACTGGAGTTTGTCAAACAAACAACCAAATCATTGCCATTTTGGAGATGAATTATTACCAACTGGTCAGATCCAGAAGTGATACTCAATGCTGTTATCTACAAAAAAAAACAAAACCAGAAAACAATAAATGGAAAATTACTTGCATTCAATAATTTAATATTAAAAATACAAATCTGTTATACTCATAATCAGCAATGATGAACAGAGTAGAGTGATCCCAAACAAATATAAAAATTTAAATAGCATCCAATGATGAACAGAGTAGAGTGATCCCAAACAAATATAAAAATTTAAATAGCATCCATGTATCATTGTTTGTTTGATGCAGCTTGGCCAGAATCTATTCACAATGCATGTAGACTGTGGATAGCGGCCACCTTAATTCCTGAGGCAGAAATTGCATCCATACCAATTACTACAAGCAGTCAATTAATTAATTAAAGGTATGAGCAGGAACACTTTGATCTTCGCACTAAGCAGTTAACTGACACATGCCTTTGAAAGAATGTCACAGTATTCAACCACAACACTTGTTTGACATTTATGGCAAGGTCACCGAAGTTAACAAACGTGTAGGTACACAATATGGATCCAGGGAGGAAGCGTCCTTATTCGAAATAGAAAATATCTCCGTAAGCATACATGTCTATCATTAACTTAAAGGGGAGGTGTAGGACAATTATGCTGGACTATTATCATAAGACAGTCTAGTGCCCTCTACATGGGCATATCAGATGACCCCTAAGGTCAGGTACCTAGAAGCTTCCCATGTGTTGTACATATGCTTGTTCGCCAAGACATCCATTGTTTTGTTTACCCATTAAAGTTATCCAAACTTGCATCTGTCTATTTGTCAGTCAGTCCTTTACAATATCCATCACAAATAAAGGACGGATAGCAGTTATTCGGACAGGGATGAAGTCTGAATAGCATACTTATACACATCTAGATGTGTATAAGAGACAGGTTGAATATTAGAGGCAACCGTGCACTACTTACATCATTGATGCTGAAATGTGACATGGACTTGAAGACTTTCTTTGGATCAAGCTTGTAGATGAACTTGTCTGTTACCATCAAGGCTCTGTCAGCACATTTATTGTGCTTATTGACCTTAAAAGAATACAAAACAAAAAGTAGGATCATGGCTATGAAACATTATATAGAGTATTAGGGGATGTCTGACGTCTTGGAAAAGGGGTGCTATCCAGCGGCCCCACCACTGAAGCCACCTCTGAAATTATTATAAGATTAAAATAAAATATATTTAAATTATGATAAGTCATAAATATGTCAATTAAAATGTTCAAAGGTACCGCAACAGCAAGGTTTTGCATTTTCTTTTAAATATGTTGACTCATTGGGGCAGCTTGATTCATTGATGAAATGCAGCAAGTAAAAAACACCACTTTCCAAAAGACTCTAATCCATATCTTTGCACACAGAAATGCACTTTAAATGGGCACTGATGTTACATTATTCCTCATAAAACATACTTGAATGAATAAATGAATGAATGAATGTATGAATTAATGAGTGTATTGAGCATAAAAAAACGTTTAAAATTATAGTAGTTGTATGCATCATCATAGACGTTTTTTGTTATGTTCACTTAACAGTTAGGAAAGGTGTGATGTCGTTTACAGTGATATTAAAGGAAATATGGTTGTTGTAGTAGTTGTTATGTACGTAACTTTGTGAAATATTTTGTACTGCAATTATGAAGATATATATGTAGCAGCTTATGATTTAAGTAGACAGTCTGGTGGGTGAATAGAATTTGTTGCATAGAAGTATTTCATTGTGGTCCTCTAATGAAGGCATTATAATTACATATATCATTTGTCTTTGTTACTTAAACATGCAGCTTTTTACAGTGATTTTTTTTTTAAATTACAGAACCTATATTATTTTTACTTTTGTATGTATTTGTATTAAATCCAATATCCAAACACATTAGGAAATGTGTCATGTTTATATATATATATATATTCACAAATATTTCAAACACTCCTGTGTTCTTCCTCAGTGTGAGGACAACTGACAAAAAATACAAAGTAAAGCAACATTCACACCAAAGTCGAATTCGGTTCGCATGGCCAACGAAACAAAAAAAAACATCGAATCAGCGGTAAAGAACAGAGGCCCGTAATAAGACGCGCATCCTAAGCGTTATACTTAATATGGAATAAACAAAGTAGATAAAAGCTGGATAAAGGCCTAGGAAACAAGAAAAAATAGTTCTGATAAATGAATAATAAATGAATAGTCTGATAAGTAATCTAAGTCTTTATTTAAACTGTTGATATAAGAATTGGTTCTAAGAATCCACTTCAATTCTTCTTTGTGTCTATGTGAGAGGATAAAAATCATTAGCGATCAAAATAAATCTTATGTCATTAATGCTATGGTTAGGTAGATTGAACTGACAGGCCACTGGGAAACCAGTGGAGTTGTCTCTGATGGTTTTTTTGTGATTATTAAATTTGACATTTGTTACAAAATAAAATGTAAATAACGTTAGAAGAATCACAAGTAAGTGGAGGGGGTCTAATAGTAATATTAATACTAGGAATAGTGAATGTGTCAGAGGTGCACATGAAATTGCAAACTTGGCATCTGGGTTTACTACATTTAACATTACCAGAAGAGTGGGAATTCTTGTGGAGTTTAGAGCATGAGAATAGATTTCAAATTAGGGGGTTGTCTTTTGGCTAGTAGGGGAGGGTCTTCAAAAAGGTGGCAAATAGATTTATCTTTATTGAGAATTTTATAGTCAGTTTTAAGTTGGCGGGTAAGACAACCCCCTAATTATTAATTCCCCAAGCCTTATCTTCCATATTATTGCAAGATCGGCCTAATCGCATCACAAACGAAGGAAGAGATTGAAAAACAAATGACTTCAAAATTCGCTCGGAATCATCATATAAGCCCTCTCTCTCAGAGAGTGGGCTAATGAATGAAAAAATTTAATGAATGAATCATATGAATAATATGATTGATATTAATGACTGAATGAATAAATGAACAATTGAATGAAAACAAAGATTGTTTTTTTTTTGGCAGTGTGAAGGTGCAAGTACTTATAATCAAAACATACCTTAACAACGGTGGAAGAGAAAAGCACTTTGTCGAACTTGTCTTTGTTCTTTAAGTTGCTGCTTGCTGCTACAAATGGAGCAGTTTGATTGTTGTCTGTTAGCTAGAACACATAAAATTACAAAGTTAAATTTAGTACATGATTAATTATTTTTTTAATACAATTGCAAGATAAACAAACTTATTAATTTTTAAAATCCATAAGGCATCAGAATGAGTTTGAGTTTGCTTGTTTAAATTCAGTGTAACACACGTACATACACAAGTCCAGTACAATGCTTCCTATGCTACTCTGTCACCACCATGTCTAAACTGTCAAAACAAGATCACCTAAGCTGTAAATAAATAATCAAATAAACAACAGAAATATGAAAAATAAACTAGACTGATGATCTTACTGAAGCTAAGTAGTTCCCTTGCCACTTTCGTCTGTAGCCCCAATCTGATCGTTTGCCTCTCAATGCGTTCATTGCGGCTGCCTTGATCCGTACCTGTTCCCAGTCTTCTTTTGGAATCCTTGATAAAATCGTCTTGGCAACCCACCTTCAAAGTGAAAAAAAAATTAATAAGTTTGGAGATACAAAATAGTTGGCATCCAACCTAAAGGAGAAACTAAAAAAGTTTAGTATAAGCATATTCCAGATATAAATGGTTCGTCCAGTATCAAAAACCTGTAAAACTTCTAATAATTACCCTGGGTTACTACACTTTGATTATTTTTTTTTAGGGTGGGTAGAGTATGGGTTACTATTAGACTAGTGGGTTACTATTACTAAGTTTAATGTAGGCACATGAGATTGTAAACCCCACCACCCTCAGCTTTTTGCATCAGCAATTCATTTAGAAATAAATAACTACAAGTACGAGTAAAAAATCTTTAAAAACTAAAAAAACTTAAATTTTATTTATAAATTCAAAAACAAGGAGCAAATTCAAGAAAGAATCATCAATGGCCCAATCACATTGTGAAGAATGCCTATTTTAAGAAATAATCGTTAAGCAACAAAAATGTTGATTTGTATGTTTATCTTGTCCACTACTAATAATAGTAAGCTAATGGGTTACTATTAGAGTAGTGGGATATTATTATAGATAAATTTATAGGGTGGGTTATTATTAGGGCAGGTTACTAATAGAGTAATGGGTTTATAATTAGAAGTTTTATAGTATACACAAAATAGACAATGATCTTAAAAATGCCAAAACATTTTTAAAAGGTTAGTTTAGTATTAAAGCAGGTGTATATACTACCTGTTGTGCATCTTCTTCATTTCAGAGGTGAAGCTGTGTAACACCTGAGGTGGTTCCGGCCAGGTGCGGTTCCTACCAAGATCACGTGAATGCTTCACATCTCGGAATATCTCAATCACTTTCTTCATAAACTGCCTGGCTTTATAACGTTTGTAACAGTTCATTATTAGATAAATAGCACGCATACGCCGGGCCATGAGCCTGGCTGCTGTCCCACGCCATACCTAGCCAAGAAAAAGGAAAGCAACTTTTATGATAGTAATTGTTATTGTTGTGATGAAATAGACAATAACTGGATTTGCGTCAGTTGAATCAAGTATAGGTGTAATTTTGCCCTACTTGACGTGGAAATATACTGACTACTCATTACATGTGAAAACAAGTTGTTCTCAGGTGGGACTCGAACACACAATCTCCAGATCACTAGCCTGGCATCATACCTCTAGACCACCGAGCTTGCGCCTGATGGCCGAGTTGAATTCGAGTCCAAATAAGCAGCGGGTACTGCAATGTTGATGACTTTTATGATGTTTACTGGTTGTAATTTTTTTTTAAATCTTCGTATGTACGACTTGAAATTTCTTTATTAAAAATATAACCTTTTTTCATTCTTAATACACATCTCATTAAGGAAGTCCACATGTTTTTGGCGAGTTAAGTGGCCGAGCGGTAATGCAAGGACACCGCTAATGACAGCTGCCTTAACAACATCTTCTCGGATAAGGACTTAAAACGGAGGTCAGGTGTACACCTTTGGCTCGTGTGCACTTTAAAGAACCCATTGCATCTTTCATACGGCTAGGGGGTTACCCCGATGTTATGGTCTATTTCAGCCCCTGTTGTTTTTTAGGTGTCACGGACCACACACATACACAATTCAGCATGATCCCTACCTTTACATATCTACCAATTTGTTAGCTCTATTTTAACTACATTGTTTTGCAACCATATGACTTATGCAAAGTAATATAGAATACATTTCACTACAAACTCTTCAGGAGATTTCTAAAGCGCCTTATAGTTGTTCAAATTTGACATTTGGAGTTATTATTTATATTACAGTACTGTATTATCTCGGACAAATACGCAATACATATTCATAACAAGACACCATCAAATGTTTATTCAGTACACATAGGAACGCCAACAACTGATGAAATATTGTTTCAAACATGTGTGCATACGCCAAATGTATTAACCACTGAGCCGCATATGCTAAAACATATTGGAGTAGCCAAACAATGATATTAAAGTACGAAGAGACATTATGAGCAGTTGGAACATATGAACTCGAATATCAATCTAATATCAGAAGCTCAAAAAGAGCAAAGAAACATCCTGTAAAATACCTTTTGAAGAAGAAGCACAATCGATGGAAGTAGTTTTCTCCTCTGCTCTTCCAGAACCACAATTGTCTTAGGTGTACGAATGAAGAGTTTAGTACGACCATACTTGACATCATCGCCAAACTGCAAGTGTTCCACTATAATTCTACAGCCATCTTCTTCGCTACCATCTCGAAAGTTTGGCCAGGTATATTGGGTCAACATCTTGTACCTGCAAAAACAATGTTAACATACATGAAAACATATAAATTATAAGAATATGAACTGTAATAAACAGCACAAAATTGCATTTTAAATACGTTTATTGTTTTTAGCATTTAAAAAAAAAAACCAATACATAAATTCTTTTGTCATCAAACTAAAAACTACTTGCAATAATTAATTTTTTTTACAATTTGTATATTTATATAATATGTTGGCTTTAACTATTTTTAATATGAAAATAAGATATTGAAGTTCACAGTCATTTCTGTCCCATGTTTTTAATCAATAAAGTGAATAAATTGAGAAAAAAAAAAATTCATATATCACTACCATTCTGTTATCATTCATTAAAAAAAAAATAAAAGCTGAATTAATAAATTAGAAAACTTCCTCTTCATTAGATAAGCACATGGAATGTGCTTGCTCAGCTGCTTATTTTGCACTAGAAACCATAATTAATAGGGATAGAATTACACTGAATTCATTTCATGCTAAGATACTGTTTACATCACTGATACAACTATTTTCTGTTCCATATGCAATAATAAAAATTTATAACACGTCATTTAGGGCAAAATATCACTATGATATTTTCTTGACACAAACTCAAATCGATGTAGCTTTTGCAGTACGCACTGCTACTTGGGGATTGAATTCAACACTAGTCACTAAGCCCAAGCTCGATGGTCTCAGTGGTGGATCTAGGGGTGTGAATAGGGTGGCACCCCACACTCCCCTCCCCACCCCCTGGCTGGATTGGTGCTTCGAAAATTGCATCATCCACACCCCATTGCTAAATCCTAGATCATCCACTGGGTTTAGTGGTTATGGCGCCAGGCTAGTTATCTGGAGGTCCCAAAGTATTTGGGAATGTATTGAGTATGCGGTACGATAACATGTCAGGTTGGGCAAACAATACTCTTATGATATTTTCCTGATGCAACTTCACATCGATATAATATCTATGTAATTTATACATATTTAGCTTTACTCTATCTATACAGTAGAACCTTGATTTTACGTACGGTACGGGACCGGAGGGCGTACGTAAATCGGGGAATCGTAAAATTGAGGTTGGGTTAAATTTGTGGTGGCCTTTGACCTAATATGTACGTAACACCAATAAACCTATGTTATGAACGAACGATGTTAGCAGGGCCCATTCCAAGGCCTACACTAGGCAGCAGGCCTAATAGAACCATGTGTTTAGTGTCTTTACTCACCATTTTACAATGTCATATTTTATTTAACTAAAGAACATGAAAATATATATAAAGATTACCTATACAACAAAGGTATAATTTGGGAATTCCCCTTCATGGCTATTCTAAACAACAGAGCTGCAGTGTTGTCAACCAATAGCGTTCATATCCAAAATTATGCCTACCCAGCTTAATAGTAATTTAAATAGTAACTTAAATAGTAATAATAAACTTTGTGTAGAAAATTCGATAAGACAAGTTTTCACATGAAGCTAAGTAGGAAAGAAATTATTTTGAGCACCAACGGTAGTTGTTCATCTCGCTCCATCCACATGGTTTTTTTAGATTATAACAGCGCGTTAATTATATACAATCAATGTTGTTGTTGAATGCAAATACTTTGCATGTGGTGTTTACTGTTATAGTATTGAAATAATACAGTAAACAGACAGAAGCTATAAAGAAATATCTTTATACATTATGGTGGTCCTGAAAAGAGCAGATTGTTTTGGATATTTTGGGGGTTTTTGACGACATCATCGTCGGTAGGAGGCGTACGTGAAAATAAGGGTTCGTGTAACTGTGGTACGTAAAAAGGAAGTTATATTGTATATGATATCACCTAATTTTTTAGTCAAAATATGTAATTTTGCTCTCTCTCTTTTATCACTTGATGATAATCATTCTATTTATTATTACATTTTTTTACTTCTCCATATTCGTTCTTTCAATATTAATAAATATTTAAATTCACCCACTTACCTTTGCAGAAACCGTGAATAGTGTATGCGTGCAGCGAAGCCGGCACGACGAACTCGGACATTCTCAAGGAGACCAAGGTATCGAACCTGATGCAGACATCGTTCATCATTGAATAATAATGGTGATTTCTGCTCATTTGGTTTGATGCACCTCACATAGTATGGCTCCTATACACAAACAATGCAATACCGTAACATTATTATAACACCCTGCCTATATATCTTGGAATACTTTAGACATCATATTATTATTATTCCAAATAAGTTTTTACAGCAATAGGTTTAACAACTTTCTTCAGCTTATACCAGGTATCCCACCATAGTTGACCAATATTCATTATCATCTTAATTTATTTTGTCAATCATCTGATGTAATAAAAAAACATTTTCCTCATCCACTTTTTTTATTCCATTTACTTTCACAATGCCGCACACCAACAGACAATTAACATGAAATGTTAATTAGCATCAATCTATACCAATGTTATAATCTGTATAAGCTTTGGAAATGTGGACATGGAGAAGGATGGAGAAAATTAACTGGAAGGACAAACTACCAAATGTACTTGAGAGAGTAAAGGAGGAAAGAACTTTATTAGTTACGATAAAAGACAGAAAGGAGAAATTGATCGGACATATACTTTGAGATGGTCTTTTGAGAGATGTAATTGAAGGAAGAATAGAAAAAAAGCGGCCTCGAGGAAGAAAAAGGGTAAGGTTTTCAGATGAAATGAAGGAAACATATTAATACCATCATGAAACAGAAATAATATGATAGAGAAATTGAAGAAATTAACTGCTGAACCTGCCAATATGCAGAAAACTGATGATAATGTTTACAAATGCATAGCCTATTTGTCACTATCAAATCAAATTTTAAGCAAGGTTGGATTTTGCTTTAGTAAAAACAATTTTGATAGAAATATCTTGGCAAGCCTGTGTAACCTTTAAAACTCTTCCTTTGTAACATCTGTCTTATGTAAGTTGGATATAATAAATTACTATAAAGAAAAAAATAAAACAAAATAGGTAGGATTTGGGTCTGGAGTATTGAAAACACAAAGAAACAGAGACCCTAAAGCTCGCCACACTATCAAATTTTCTTTGATAAAAAACTGTTGCATGCCCATATATGTATACATTCATGACTATATATGGTGATGATGTGATGTCATCATGACTATATTTAGACATGTCACAAGTTTTTGTCAAATGTGATAATCTGGACAGAGTTTTACATAGCTGTTGGAAATTGCAGTATATTACTGCTGTATATTATAGCACTGTGGTCAAAACCATTTACTGTGCAATATTTGTACAGATGTGAATTTCAACTTGTCACAGGTGCAAATGTTTAAAATTGATAACTTTATCGCATACCTTAGTAGCAAGATTCTTAACCAGCTCAATCATTGAACTCTTGAAGATAGTGCCAGCCGTTAGAGGTCTCTTTGTTACCTGTTTAAGATAAATTAGATTATTAACCATTGTTTCACATAGCGTATTCAATTATTCTGACCTGTGTGAACCAAAACGGTAATGATTTCAGTAGTCCATTTAAATCCTCATTATATTCTAAAAAAAGTTGCTGAAAATCATTAAAAAAATCAATAGTTTTTATGGTTGTTTCAGTGTAACGCCAAACCGCACTTTCAAAGAGTAATTATGTAAATTAATCATGAAACAACCCACTTAATACAGAAATAAATTAACAATAATCATAATGATATTGAGCAATGTATATGTTATCAATGGACAAAACCTTCAGAGAATAAATGCCACATTCAAAACATCACATGATTCTTAGACCCAGGACTAACAAATTAAAAACTCCATTCCCTATTAAGCACTTTTAAGAAACTTGATAAATAGAGCATTGTTTTATCCTGTAATAGGAAAGTAGACTTCCTGTTCCATATAAGACACTTTTTTATGATTTGTTTTATTATGAAATTTACATTTTTCATTAAATCTCAAATATGTATTTACTTCTGTAATTTACATTAAGGTTAATTTAATATGATTCACAATTAAAATCTTTGTGTTAAGTATGTCATTCAGAATGAAATTGATAGAAATACATATAAGCAAAACAAATAGTTTTCACAAAGAAACCTTTTCCTCTTTGTATTGCCATTAAAATACCTAAATTTAATGATCATAGCTCAAATTATGAACATTAATATATTAATTGCCTATCACCAAACGATAATTAATATCAATTAACCGACACCAGGAAAAAAGAGAAGAATCATGAGTATGTAGGTAATGAATGGATGATACTGAATTATTTTTCATTGGGCCTAAACATTTATATTTTAGAGCATATATACTTTAGGTTTCTGCACATTATTCCCAGGGTTATTGGGACATGCCTATCAAACACATCTCAGCTCCTTGGCAGTATTCCATAAAGCTGAAGCTATAGTTGAATCAGCTCATTGGAATGATTACCAGGCACCCATTTTTATTCTTCCAGGTGGCCAGAATGGGATTTCAAACCCCCAATGGTTGCGAACCAGATTCGTAACCACTGAGCCAACTGGAACCACATAAATACTGACATCCCACTATTCCAGAACCACCCTTTGGTACCAAGTATACCTCAAGTACACTCTGCTTTCCATCCGGCCACATCTCCTTAATGGATTCATTCTTGCTTGAATACAGAAGACGTTTGAAATCTTGAAAGAGTGTGTCTTTGTTCTTATCCATATATCCTCGTACATCGTACCTGAAATGTGTGGTTTTGCAGAGTGTGGAGAAAAGCGTGGTGAGTTAAACAATGTCAAGGATAATGAAGAGAATACCCAAGTCATGTACCGTATGCTTGGTTTAATAAAACCATTGAATCCCTGGTGAGAATGTTGTCAATGTTACTTGAAAAATGGTGTATTGTTGACTTTTACAATGAAATAATGTTCTTAAATTGTTTGAATCAGAATTGATGGACTGGCTTGGTTGATAAAAATATTCTGTTAAAAAATATATGTAACTACTAAATTTATGATGTTAGATGCAGACTAATTGTTAATATACCAATACTCAATATATATATATAATATGGAAGCAATATAAATTGTACTGGAATTCAAAGTTTCCATGGTGATGATTACCATCCATGAAAAGTACATCATTTGGATGATTACATATAAATGATTACATATAAATAATTGCCAGGTTATGAGGTGGGTGCAAAGCCAATGGAAGGAATTGCTATATGATAATCTATAACCTCTGACCTGTTTGACACTTTGTTTGCCCTCTGGCCACATGGCTTTGAGGGATGGATTATTACTATTGTACAACAATCGTTTGAAATCTTGAAATAGACTGTCTCGGTTCTTTGCCATAAAATGATGGACAACATAACTGTAAAAATCGGATATAGATTTTATTTTTTTTCCCGCTTGAAACTATCACATACTGTAGCTAACATGATCTATAAATCATGTTCATGTGTCTCAGGTTTTAGTCTTTAGATATATCCATGTTTATAAAGAGTGACCTCATTCTCTGCTTTATCCAAAAGCTGAACGAGAAACTTGTTTTTAAAAATGTTACCAAAATCAAGCTATCTGATACAAGAACCATATGGTTATCATAATAATGCTGCTGTTGGAATTGTTTTAATAAATAGCATTTTGTTAATGTATCAAATTTTATTATTTATACTGTATGCTTCAGGGATGGAGACAAATGGGAAAACATCACAAAACATCATTAAAAATATATGTCGATCATGAACAATCTTAGCAGAACACTTACGGCTTAAATTTGGTTTTTTCTGCTACAGTATATTGTCGTCAACAATATGCATGTCGGGTTTAAAATAACATTAGTTTAGATATGTTAATTTCAGTAATCTATTCCCAATGGGGTCTTGTTTTTGTACCATAAATGTTATTTTGTTGAAACAAATAAATTTATAAACTAGATCTTACTCCTACACTATCATGCTATTATTATTGCATAAAAACAAGATAAACTTGTCAGACATTTCGTTTACCGCTTTTAAATATAAAACCTACTTAATCTTAAACACAATTTTCTCTGCATTGAAAACTTACGTCACATCTCCAGCATAATGCCGGATGCGGAAATCTTGGCTGTGTGCCAAAGTCTTGTCAGTGGGTTGGAGAGCTCTGCTTGTGTAGTGGGGGTGTTTTGCTAACTTCTTGTTCATTGCATCAAGGAACATCTAAAAACAAAAACAATTGTAATACTTGGAAGGATTTCATCTAGTCTTTAGTTGAATTCATTCATTGAAAGTCATTTGATTGTCAGTGACCGAAACTGTCATGCAAGTTTCAAAACTTTTAGTATACATTAAAAAACCTTTCACAGTATAATAAAAACAATTGTTGTTATATTGAAGTATGTGAAAGGAAAAGGCAAAAATGATAAGCTAAATTCCTGCTTAATGCTGAACTGATTGGGCAAATTGAAGTGGTAGTGTACATATTTTAATAACACAGTTGGTTTTTACGCTGCACAACGTAAATATGTGAAATCGATCGTGAATACTAGTAAAACAATAACAACCAAAACAACAGGGGCAGATCCAGAAATGTCCGGAAGGGGGCCAAAATGCGGCCGATCGAGAAAACACTACCCTAGGTTGGGGGGGGGGGGGCCATTCCAGTGCAAAATTTTTGTTTTCTACTGTATATGCCCGAAAATAACCTCTGAGGCATTATGGGTGATCAATTATTTCTTTATTCTTTCTTTTTCTTTACTTTCAAAAAGTGGGGGGGGGGGGCCCAACGGCCAGACCAAACTGAATATCTGGGTTTATTTGAGCTGTTTCCTGCCAACAGCCCACAGTACAGTACAGCTTGGGTCACCCTCCTTCGGGACTCTTCTCGTCTTCTCAAGGGGAACATCCCATAATAGTTGCAGAAGTGGTTGGCACATTGGTTGTGGCTTGGGATCTCAAACCTCAAGTTTGGGAGTTCGAAACTCTCGCTGTACAAGTCGCTTGTGTCTTTGGGCAAGACACTTTATCTACGGTTGTCTCTCTCCACCCAGGAGTACAAGTGGGTACCTGGTAGGTTCAAACACAACCAGGCGCTGATTACAGCTGCAACATTATGGGGCATAAGTGTTGTTCCATGTGTTTGATCCAGTGACCAGGGGTAAGAATGTAAAGCGCATAGAGGTTAGTCTACAAAATGCGCTACATAAGTCAACAATTATTATTATTATTATATATAGTTTTCAACAAAGTTGAAAGGTTAAATTTTCTTAAAAACATAACACTTAAAAATCATGCAGTTTTGTTATCCATACAAGATACCTTTTGTATTGAATATTTAAGTTTTCTTGACATCATACACAATTTGTTCCATATGACAAGCTAATATTATTAGGTTTTCCAAAAACACAATATCCACCATGGAATCCATTTAAAAACAATTCCCGTCCTACATTTATTACAAGTTAATTTTTCATACAGAGTAAAACAGTCGTGTTGTCACAACACCAGGTGGCACCCTCTAGCCTGGTTCTCACAAGAGCTCTTGTATCCGGATCGGGAGCTAACCGTTAGCACCTGCGTGATAACGCCCGATCGGTTAGCGCTAACCGTTAGCAGTATCCAGATACGCTAACGGTTAGCAAGCGCTATCGGTTAGCAAGTTGAGGCCAGTTTCTTATTGGCCAGTGATTCGATCATCATATTGTTGGTATCCGGATTTTCACACATGGAAGCTAACGGTTAGCAGGATCCGGATCCTGCTAACCGTTAGCTGCCGTGTGAGAACATAGCCTCAGTTGTCAACCAGACGTTGGTTACCATTTATTACGCCTACATGACTTCATAATCTTAATAAATAGAATCTTAGAATAGGCTTCCTGGAATACGCATTTTAAAATCAAATAATATACTAAAAACACAAAAGCTAAATATACTAAAAACACAAAAGCTCACATTATATTAGTTATCGAACACACATTCAATTGACTAAAATTTACAAGGAAAAACTAAGATACAACATCTTAATAATTACGTTAGAAACTGGGATCAATGGTTTGTCAGTGGAGGAAATGGCGTCCGGTGGCATTTTGTGTTGCCGATAGCAACGGAGTAGTAGTACGTGGTATCGTGACGTAACAGAGTAGTACTCTATAGGCATTGGCTATTATACACCAGTCTTGACCCCTTTTACACTGCAAGCAAAACTCTGGACAAAACCCGGAAATTTTACAAAACTCAAGCTAGAAACTCCCAAGTTGCGGTTAATGTGAACGCCAAAAAATATCACCCTTTTTGCAAAACAACCCGGGTTCGCTGTGTGGGGCGCATTCAGCGTTGAACAAGCCGGGTACACACCAGAGTCGCCAGTGTAAAGGAATCCCATTCCGGAGTATAGTCCTTACCTGGTGCCTATCACAGCTGTGGTCAGGTAGGCCTAAACTTTGCTGGCAAACAGGCTAGGCCAAGACACTTTTCAAATTAAACCCCCTGCGCTTTGGTATAGACTTGATAACAAACTCATGCTGATTTAATTCGCACTATTTTTAAAAAAATCTGCAGATACATGCAGCTTCTTCACGACTCAAGAACTCGAGCGAAGTGATGATCACCATAGCAACAAAAATTGATGGCAGTATTTGAACCTGCGTTCGTTGCCGGTGTAAAATGTGTGCAACTCGGGATAAACCCGGACTTTTTGTTCAATGTAAATGGAAATGTATCCGGTATTCTGGAATTAACACCTTGGCAGTGTAAAAGGGGTATTAAAAAAATTATAATTCCTAGTTGTTGTATTAATCCAATCCATACATACAATAACATCCAATTAGAATTAGGAATTTGTTTGAGACTGGTGTAACAATAGCCAATGTCTTTCATATTGTATAAGAGTGCAAATAATCATTATAATGTGATTCTAATTTAATAATACCATTTCTAGTGTCAGCTACAATTCTATCAAAGCTAATGAAATTCTTTAAATTCCAAGTCAACATTTATAGCATCTAATCAACAATGCCTTATAAAAATGAATAAGACTGTTATGCATATTCATTTACAGCATCAACGTCAGCAGAGTTATATAGTCAAAACTCTTGAATTTGATGGCAAGAATATGAATGACCATCCACACACAACTCTAAAACAAAATTGTAGCTTTAAATATACATATATAAAAATAACTACTTATATATTCTGAGGTATTGCCTGGTGAAATGATGTTGTCATTTAGATTATATATATTGGCTGGCTTGATGCCAGAGTATTCAAAGTATTGAATAAATTTTTTATGATACAGATTACAAATGAAGAACAGCAATGATGAAGTGTGGGTGGCTTGGCAATAACTACTTCTATTTCCATGTTCCTTTGCTCAAGCTCAGCAAAATCCAAGGTTTTATTCAGCCAAAAACAAGCCCAACACTTAGGACTTGTTTAAATATTATTAAGGATATCATATTATTAAATTCTGCTTGAATACTGGTATAAGATCCACAATAATTACATATGTAATATAAAAGAACAGGAAATTACCTCATCAGTGACTTTGCCAACATTTAGACAAGCTTCGTCTAGGATGGCAATAACTCCCTTGTGGTTCTCTTCGACTAGATCACAGATGATCCGGTTGTTAAAATACTCGATTGCCTGCCATTGTATCCCTTCCCGCTGATACTCTTCTTGCTCCTGCTTCAAAACCAACTCAATGAAAAGTTGCTGAAGCTTCTCGTTACAGTAATTAATACAGAACTGCTCAAAACTAAAGAAAAACACAGAAAAAACTAAACAAATCTATACTACTATATGTTTGGTGAAAAGGCAAAAAATCCTTAATATGAAAAAATCAGCACTGAAGTCAGTATAAACAACAGACTAATACCTTAGACATAAAATGAATTCAATTTTCTATTCATACCTATTTAAAAATTACCCAAATTAGTACTGGTACGAATATGGGTATTTATATTGCGCCTTTTCTTTGCGATTATACAGCGCACGCCAAATCTCATAGTTCAGATAAAAACTCAAAGCAGCATGTAATGCAGTACAGCATTAAACAGAAATCATGAGTGCCACTCTTGTCAACACAATTAACAAAAGCAAAATTCAACATGTACTACAGACACAACAATCAGAAAACAATAATTGGAAGTACAAACAAAACATACAAAGCATAAGGAAATAAAATGGTCTTTGGCAGTTAAACCAAATATTAAACATAACTCAGAAGCTAGCTGCCTCTCAGATCAATATATAGAAAAAAGCTGCAAAAGTATATAATTTAAGAGAGAGTACTTAAGCCACTCTTTCAGGCTTTTAAAACTTGAAAATAATAATGCAATGTTTACAGTTCCGCATATTGTCTTTTCTATCTACAATTGAAAGATTCTTTAAATATCAAAATATTACTGGTATACATATGAGGCATGCCATCCCAAAACCAGCATACTGTCAATAAATGTTAAGTATATTAGCATAAAAATGTTGCAGTATTGTATACTTTAGTACAGAAAAGCTGTAAATACTTTTACTCATAACTTTGGCGTAAGTCGATTCCAGTAAAATAACCTATCATTTTAAAGCATATAATGTGGAGGATATGGAATTATTAAAAACTCAATTTTCTTGTTTTAGTCACTGATGCTGTTTTTTGCATGGCAAGCTCCATTAGCAACGAACCCAATAAGCTGCCTAATCACATAATAGAGCCATTATTTCTATTAATGTCTTCCACATAATGATAATAATGTGTTATTCATTAAAGAAATTAATGAAAATTATTGGCTATCAATAAATTTAATTGTAGTTTTAATTTGTTCATGTTTATTTTAATTATTAAGGATGTTCATAAACAACAATCTATAAATAAAATAATGTGCAGGTAAACCTTGAAAACTACTATAATAAAACAAGGCAATTCAAAAAAAGGACGCACATCTCAGGACATCAAAGGTTATAACTCTGGCATCGACAGTCTATGCGCCGCACACCCCTACACGCTGATTGTCACAAAAACCATAGCAACCAAACCATAAAACTGTCAGCGTGTGACAAATTACCCATGCGCATGTTACGCTATGTTCTCACACAGCTGCTAAGGGTTTAGCAGGATCCAGATCCTGCTAACCGTTAGCTGCCGTGCGTCCATGTGAGAAAATCCCGATCCGGATACCAACAATATGATGATCGAATCACTGGCCAATAAGAAACTGGAAATTGTAAAGGCGTACGTGTGATTGGTTGATGATAGAAACGCTCTCAACTTGCTAACCGATAGCGCTTGCTAACCGTTAGCGGTATCCGGACACCACTAATGGTCAGCGCTAACTGATCGGGCATTCTCACGCAGGTGCTAACGGTTAGCTCCCAATCCGGATACTAGGGCTCTCTCATGAGAACCAGGCTATAGTTGCCATGATAATTGTGCGTCGTTCTGTGGTTACAAAGGCCTAATGAATTTTTACATAACATTAGAGTGAAATTATTCGTTATTTCAGCATCAATTTTACTGATGAGGTGATGTCTGATGGTTCATGAGACTTGCTTCGCAGGAAAGATAAATAGATTTTTTTATCTACTCAAATGTTTGTTTGGTGTACCTTAGTCCAACATTTTCAAAATGAAAGTTTAATGTTATATAAGAACATGAATTTTTATAAAAATTGTAAATTTTCACGAATTAAATTATAGTTTACAGAATCACTTAACAAGCACGTGGTCAAAAGAAATCAGATGTAACAGATATTGTGAAGTACCCAAAATTAATAAAATAGTAACACCATAAAACGTATGGCACGCATAGACTAATAACTGACGGCTGCACTTTCAGCTAGTATCGGATTGTCGATGCCACAGCAAAGATCAAAGGACTGTATGTACGCACTATGTTTGCGGGGGAAATGTGCGTCCTTTTGTTGAATTCTCTTTGATTAAAAATAGGTTCCTGTAGGAGCATGAATATACTGCAGTATTCTAAGTAACTAGTCAAGATATACTCTAAACATTGTCCATTAGAAGCAATTGGTGTCAAATGTAGGTCCAATTACCAACTCTCAAATAAGTTAGATGGATAGTTGGAACGCATACTTGTGATGAACCAATAACACATTCCATTTTACAGGGGAATTTGACTACCCAAGTATAGAGTATATCTGCGCAACCGCAGTATACTCAAAAAGTAAGATAAGAACCAGTTTTTCTTTTTATTTACCAATGGATATTATTGGATTATAAAAGAAGTAGATTAGTTTACTGACAAATTATTAATACTGTTTATAATGAAGAAAAATATTATGACCATGTAAGTGATTCATTTCACGTGGGCGAACACACTGCAGCAGTGCATAAGATTCATCCATAATAATAGAAAAAAAAATGTAGTCTGTCAAAGTATCTACAATATTGATGTACATGTTTTGAACACAATGTATTGACTGATGATCGAAATTAAAAGCAGTACTCAAGATTTCCCAAGTCGAAATTAAGATAAAATATTTCATTTAATCCAATAATAGTATCGACAAAAAAATATTTTTGTATTCATCAGTGGATCTAAAGATGTACTTAATGTCAACATTGGCAGACAGATTAAAAAAAATTATAGAAGCTTACCTGTTGTTATCAAAGATTTCAAAGCCATAGATGTCAAGTACACCGATAAGTGTGCTCTTTCCGTACTTTATATTTGATCCTTTCACCTCAATAGCTTCGTTGACCTTGCTTACAATCCAGCTGAACAGACGGTCATATATGGCCTGTGTATTAAATAACGCACCAGCATATTGAATATATATTATAATATATTTTGACGGTCAGATAGTTATCTGCATTAAGCTAACTTGTCATATTTTCTTAATATCTTCCTTGAGGAAATCATAGAAGCGTAAGTAATGGAATTTCGATGATTACATCCAGAGTACCTCTGGTATGCCTTAGGTATAAAATCTACAAACACAGAATAACTGTTGAAAGAAAACCCTCGAATGTCAATTAAAAATGAGATAATTCAGTAAATATGCGGCTATAGAAATCTAAAAACTCCACAGTTCTAAAGGGGAATTCATTTTAAGCTCTCTCCACAATACCAATTTGTCTGACTAATATTTGTGACTTGTTCATTTATACTGTATGCATAATGATGTCATTATTAGATCCATATATGGGATTGATTTCATATTTTTCATATGAAACTCATAAATTGGGCAAAGCTGGAGACAATCTTTCCTACCAAATGATTCATCTGATTGACATTCAACTTTTAGATGTATATTTGCTATTTTCCTATTATTTTCTTTATTTCCACTTTTAATTCTAAATGCTTTAAAGTATAATTGACAAAGATAACAGTGAAATTTGATTACAAATGAAAGAATTACTGCATATTAGATGGAACAGTCCAAATCTCCAACTCAAACACTTAAGTTTACAACTTTGTAATTAGTATGAAGTATTAATGCATTGGTATAACTTATTAATATTCATTTAGGTCTGTATATATACTTGTAGTTAAGAAGGGCGAAGTTTTTTGGGGTTTTTTTCTGTTTGTACTGCAGATAGGTTGAACACCTGAAACATGTTTACCATCACATCCTTAGTTCTTTTCTTAAAGTGTGTTGTGTTTTCATCAATTTTCATCCGTTTGGGTCCATTATCAAGAACTCTAGTTTGAAAAATCTGCCTACTTGTCTACTCATGAAGTACCAGAAAATATCCTTATGCTTCATCAAAGCTGAACTGGATTATAATTTCTTTAATTTGAATTTTTGTTTTTTGTTTCATTTCATTACAAATACTATATATGGTATTAGGAGTACTTTTTAAAAAGCTGAAATTGGCAAGCATGAAACCTCTGAGACATACTGCACCATCTGTGTTGACTACTTACTCAATTTAGTTAATGTTTTAATATATATTTTTTTTTTATTTCTCAACATTGTTTAACATTTCACCATAGTATACAGTGGCAGATATAGACTTGCCACTAGTTTCCTAGTATAGCCAATTTTGGAGATTGCCACCAGGGCCGGTTTATGTCGAGAACCTTGTTATATTGTTCAACTTGGATGCGAATTAGAAAATCCAAAAAAAGTATAGTATGGAATGCCATGCAAGTAAGTAATATGGAATGCCATTGGTGCCAAAATAGATATATATTCAATAGTTTTCACTGATTAAGGCAAAATTAGGGACTGGAACCCAGTCTATATATGGCAGATCCAGTAATTTGAAATAGGGTAAATGGGATTCAGGAAAGGACTTTCAGATGGGTAGGAAGGGGGATCTATAAATCTAGATGGCTAGAAATGACACTTTCACTCTAAAGTTTGATTAGAGTAAAATTTTCAATTTTTCTCCATTTTTGAAAATAATTTTGGAAAATTTAGGGGGGGGGGGGATATGGGACGGTTGGCCCTCTTGACCTCCTTGAATCCGCCACTGGTATATCTTTAAACACCAAACTAAAGCTCTTCTAACCTTTGCAAAGGCATCTCTACCGTATTCAGCTTGCTCTGTTGTATGGCCTTTTTCCATGACCTCTCCTCTGGCAGCCACCACTCTAGAGCACAATGCTTTCTCTAGGTCATCTTGCTGGACTTGAAGCAGCTGAGTTATTGTAGATAACTCATCAGCATTCTTCACAAAACATTGTTCATTGTCTTCGCTATCAAAAGTAATCCCACCCTAAAAAAAGGTATCCTTCATTCAGATTTTGTAGCTTATTTCGATTCGTATGCGAATCAAATTCAGAACCTTCACATTACTAGTTCAATATCATAACAACTACAACACTTACCTTGCGCTTAGTAGTTGGGATGGAATTCCCCAAGTAGCAGACAGGTACTATAATGCTAATTAAAAAAGGTGTTTTTTTCACATGTATTTGGGGATGTACCGAGTACACAGTATAAATAATATCATGTACGATGAGCAAAAAAACATTCATACTGTACAGGATTAAAATACAGTATACACAAACAAGGTAAATCAGATGTATGTATGGAAAGACCGCTAGTGGTTTTGAGAAAAAAGTTAAAAAGATACACTACTTGATACTGATATGAGGATTAAGAAGTGAAGATGAACTAGAAGCCAGGAACACATGATTCAAAGGTGTGCATCTTTCTCCTTCAATCCCATTCCTGTTAATTCTACGTTTAAACCACATTGATATTGGAAACAATTATACAATGATCTTGATACAATGGCAAACTCTAAATATAAAAGCCACTGAGTATTGAACCATGTACAATAATAGGTTACAGCACTATTATTTACATTTAATTATATTAAATTTTTACAAATATATTACAAACTCAATGTGGACTATGCAATGTACCAATATCAGATCATAAAAAAAATCCATATTTTGCTGAAGGCTATTATTCCTTAAATGGAATATTGCATCAGTTATTGTACATTATCATTTTGAATTACAGAACCCACAAAAGGTTGTAGCCAGTTCTTTGTTAACAGCAGTGGCGCATCTAGGGTCCCCCCCCCCAATTTCAAGACCTCTAGATACGACACTGGTAAACAGGCATATGTTGTGAAAATGTGCAACATAATTAAATTAAATCAGTGAAATTTAATGCTTACAAGATGCAAGATAGATGCAACAGTTGACCAAACTGTGTTGCACTCATCCGGAGAAAACTGCATATCACGCATTGCTTCTTGCACAGTTTTAAAATCTTTTCTGTCATTAACAGACCCAACCTAAAATAAGGATAATTAAATATTAACAATCCATGTGCATTCATTATAAAAAATATAAAACATTAACAAGAATATAATAGAAAAATCTGTTTATTACATTAAAAGATATGAATGAAATTACAAAAACAAAACATGTGCAATTTAATATTTATATACTACATGTATATTCATTGTGTAAAATAAAAATTTAAACAGAGTATAATGGCAGATATCTGTTTATTGCATTCACTGATATGGATAAACACAAGAACATAATCCAGCTGGCTGTGTATATTAATATTTTTGCTATAATTAGCGATCCTTGAGACAGTAAAATATCAACATTATAACCAGACATTTATTATGAAGACTGCATTTGAAATAATAATAATATGCAACTCTTAGTACAAGTCTCCATCTGATTAACATCATTACCAAGTCACTGGCTCAAAACAGCTATGAAATATATACTCTGCTCCCTGGGGGAAGTTTTCCATAATGTTCTAGCTACAGTGTAGGTATCAGTGCACTGGGATTGGGACCTACCATATACTACTCTTAGGTAAGGAGAGGCAACATGAAGACCCAAATGGCCCAAGGACACAAACAAGTTGTCAAATTCAAACCAGTGACTTTCTGATTAGAAACGCCAATTAGGGACATAATCCAAGTAGGGAGAGTTTGATTGTTCCTTTCTTTGTCTTTGTCCATGGGTCCTGAAAGCATGCAAATTTTCACCCTTTTAGTGATGTACAGTATTTCTCTTTAAAAACAGCTTTTTATGCTGCTGCCAGAGAAGATGAGCACCTTTTTTGCCACCCCTGAAGGATCCATCCCTGCTTATTATAAATGGTTGGCCGGAACTAGCTGCTATTTTACAGTTTATTGGAGACAGTATACACGAAAACTTGCCAGGCTGTAATATCATCAGGATGAATCACTGGATGCATAGGTTTGACAACCACCAGTATGTTTTCTTATTATATTTTTAAGTCAAGTAATTTGTGAATCAAGGAAGCATACAGTACAACTGCTTAGAGACAACCAAGAAGCTTAATGGCACAATGACTTCAAGGAAATTGAAAGAGATTAACATCCAATAAGGATGTCATTTGCTTGAATGGAGAGCATGTAATTCGACAAATTCACTTATTTTATATTGCAAATGTACGAACTGTGGATTTTTTTTACTTTTAAAAACAGGACTTTTTTTATTCCTTGTTTCGCATACTTATTTTTTTTAAAGATCAACGGAGGGGGGTTGAATAAAAATAAAATTTTGTTTTTTTATTTAGCAAATTGTTCTGCAAAAAACATTCAGACAGAGGAGAAAATAAAAATAAAATTTTATTGGTGAATGTAAAATAGGATGGTTAAATGCTTCAAATTTATATAATTAGGAAGAAATATACATATCTTATCTTCGTTAGGAGATTTCAAGGCAGTGGAGGGCGTAATAAAAATAAAGAAAAACTTTCAGTTTTTTTCTGAAATTTCCACTTTATTGTGCCAGCGCTAATTGGCAAAAAATATAATTTTTTTTTTTTATTCGAAAATTTCTATATTTGCAGTCGGTGGGTTCATTAAACAAGGTATAAAAAAAGTCCCGCCCTATGATGAGAATCCTATTTAATGATGAAGGTGATGATGTGATAATGATGATAATATTGGCGGTGGTGATTATGATTTCATTCGAAAGCTCATACATTCTAAATGCACAGCAAATACACACATGAACTCATATACTGTAAAAGTTCATTATAGTAGTCGAGCATTCCATAATAATAAACAATGCACATACAAGCCATCATTAATAAATATTTGATAATAATGACATAATTCAATAATAGATCCACTGTTAGTTGTTTTAAAAACCAATCAATTATAAAAATATGTGCAATCAACCAAACTTGATGATTACATGTTGTTGCTATGGAAATGTTACAAACAAATGGATGCTACTGTAGGTCAAATATATAAATCAATCCAACACACACGATATAATGTATACACAAAAAAAACTGAGTATTGGTATTTATGTAAATATGTAAATGGCTGTATGTCTAAAGTTAGTATAACAATCACCGAAGGAAATAATAATCAAAACAAGATACTTATATCAACTGAAAGAAATTACAATCAAAATTGGAAAAATATATTTTTTTTTAAAAACAAACATTGAAATGAAAAGACAAGAGTAAATTAAAAAACAAAAATAAAATGAAGTTTACCATGTCTTGTTGATTGAGCTGAAATAAAAAGAAACAGAAAGGTCTACTTATACATAAAAATGTAAAAACATTTTTATATGTACGAATCAGTTTCTAGCCCATATAAAAATGTTTTTACTGTTTAAATTAAATGTATTAATAGCATTTCTGACAATTCATCCTACAGATTGTTGTACTATATCCATAACTGTGTCTATTTACCTGATAATCTAATAAAAAGGATTTTAAAAGGGGTGAAGATATTTTAGGCACATCATTCCCTAATCAGGTAGCATATTATAGCTCCTGGGTATACAGAATTATATATACACAAACAAACCACCAGCCTGACACTCGAAACCTCAACGTCTCAACTGGAAGTTAAGAAAAAAGGTTTATAGCTGCAACACCTGCCTCTGACAAATCTAAGTTTTTAATAATTACCCAAACATAATTAATACTCTCGGATACTCATTCAAATTTGTAGGGTCGTGTTTAGAGGTAAGGTATACAGATGTCTACAGAACATAATATAGTAGCATCTGTAATACAAACGACCTAAACAGATGCAGTCAGTTTGATGTAGTATCATATCATAATAATAGGAAATTGCGAACCATTAAAAACTCATCAAGAAATGTCATTTAGAGAGGGTAATGAGTATTTCTAAATTATAGCGGCAATTAAGGTATGTTAACAATTGCATAGATATTAATAGGGCTTGCGAACATATTCACAATCACAGTGACATAAATATAACACAAAAGTTGGTTCCAAATAATGCTGTGTTGAATAAGTGTTAAGAAACGTATTGCAAGTATTAAAGTATAAAATAAATGAACTGAGAGGGAATACAAATAATGTAGTTGTAAAACATTTAAATCTGTATTTTTATACATCATTTTTGTTTTCATTTAAAAAAAATGTTGAATCGTGCTATTTGGCTATGAATAGTGTTTGTTTAAATATACTAAATATTATGGTTTGTTTACATATATTAAAAAAAACCAATAATAGGTACTCAAAAAATGTAATGTATGTAATAACAGATATCATTCAATCAATCAATCAATCAATCAATCAAAGGTGCCATTCCAACAGTCATTGCTTGTTATGCCTTTTCAGTTTAATAAAAAAAAAAAAAGAAAGTTAAAAAGAAATGATATAAACTGTGATACCTTAACACTATTGCCTTGATTTACATAATGATACATTTCTGGGTTACGCTCCAATTTAAATGCAGCTAATTGTTGGTCAGTGCCACCACAAAGAAGTTGGTAGAAAGAATGGAAGTTGCGTTCACCAGCTTGCTGTCTTATAACACGTGACTAGAAAAACATAAATTTAAAATTTAGTGTTAAATATACTCCATCAGGGATTTATAAGAGTCATCACTGATATTTCTGACAGTAAAATTATTACTCTACAGTGGTATAATATTTCACTATGGGCCCGTTCCGTTCAAGCACAAAATTTATCCATGCATCTTCTGGATAATGATCTGGTACACACTTTTCCACTCATGGTTCAATTTTGACTTAAAACTTGCCGGAGGAAATTCCAGATAAGACAGGCGAGTTGTTGCAGAAGCGATAAATGACTATGATCATTTACTCGGATTAAGTGACATTTTATATAATCAAAATATGATTTAAATGTTTGAAATTATACTCCCAGGTTATTCAGTTTGTTTTTAATTTTTAAAAAATCATATTTCATAATACGTTAGTTTGATGTGTGCTTGTGTCAGGAAAATATTATAGGAGTGATGTTTTGCACTACCTGAAGTGTTATCGTACCAAATACTGAGTACGTTCCAAAATACTTGCGGTGATTTGAGTGGAAATCGAACCCACAACCTCCAGATAACTAACCTGGTATCACAACACTAGACCACCAAGCTTGGTTTGCCTAGTAACTAGTGTTAAATCTGATTTGATTTGCAAGTATTTGGCAACGTACTGAGATTCGGTACAATAAAACATTAGGTGGTCAAAATATCTTTCTTCTCATTGTGTATGTTTACAATAATTTCTTCTTCATAAACAATTTTCAAACTTCTACATATGTATCAACACCACTGAATTGCTAACAGACTTATTGTGAAAAGCACTATAAACCACATAACATTATATAGAAGGTTGTAACACATTGGTATCTGGAACTGTAAAATGCTCATACCTTTTCCAGAAGGTAGTTACTAATGTGGCCCCCAATGGGGTCACCTTTAAAGTCAAAGTTGATGTCCATGTACTTCCCAAACCGACTGGAGTTGTCATTACGAGTTGTCTTGGCATTTCCAAAGGCTTCTAACAGGGCATTTGATTGGATGAGAATGTTTTTAACTCTGAAAAAAGTGAAAAGGAATATAATTACCAAGTTAATTCTATTGAAAATTCATATGTTGTCTGCCAAATTTATACATGAAAGCAAGTAGTACGGATAGTTTGCTAGTCATCAAAATCTAAAAAAATTAAAGGATCTACTGAGAAGGGACAAGATGGAGTATCTAAAAATAGCTGAACAAATGATAGGAGTTATAGGTTTGTTGGCCACATAAATTACTATTATGAAAAAGATAAAAAGAGGAAGCAAAAAGATGGACTGCATGCTCATGGCTATAGGCAATAACCATCCCTAATCTAGTAATAATAATAATCAATCAACCACTGAATCAATTGATCGATTGATTCTTAATTTTGTATTTTTACAAATAAAACAATATGCATGTAAAACATTCATGAATGCATATAGCCTTATGAAGTAGTTGTCATAGATTTTTTTTTTGTTCAGTTATCATTACACTCCTCTTGCCGAATAGAATTTAAAAAAAAAAAAAAAGGGTTTGATAATAAAAAAAAAAATGAGATCACCTATTTTTATTATGAATAGCATTTTGTTAAATGTTAAAATGACTAGCAAATCTTCAAACAATCCAATTATTGTTTATTGTGACAAGAAACTGTTTCTTTAATTATGGCTAGCATAAACTACTTTATCACTAACATTATTTTTGTACTTAATGAAGAGAGAATGAGATTGTGAATCTTGTGAACCTTTTTAAAATTATAACTAGTGAGTCTATAAATAATAACTCAAAACCTTACAAAGTGAAACTTATGAATAAAAAACACAATAAATAGTGTGAAAACTCCTAAAAAAATACCATAAAAATTCAAATAATAATAAATCACACTCTAAAAGTCTTGGTTTTGTAAGGAAATAATTTTCATAATTGGCAATAGCAAACCTGACTGGACAGACACATTAAAATGTAACAGAATCCTCGCCTTCCCACACATTTCCCATATCGTGTACGGTACTATATTATGCCTCAACCTTTTCTAATATTTGAACTTAAATACATATTCTCTATTTATGCAATAAATTTGTGCTATATAATTCTCTTAACTAACATAACATATGATGGAAATAAATAATAAAGATTAAATAATTATATAAATAATTGACAAATGTATTTATAACTATAAATGACAAAACAAAATGTTAAATACTAATAATAACAATCTAGTAACACTGTAGTAATAATTTATAAAATAATGAAATATAAATTCAGTTCACCTTCCAATTTGAGAACCCTTTTGGGACCTGAAAATTTGGGGTGGTCTCAAGGATCGGTCTTCACATCTAGTATTTACTGTATTGAAGATTGATACTGGTTCTTCGAAAAAATAGTCTTGAATGTAACCGCTTAAATTCAAGACTCGGAATAATAGAAAAGTCTCGAATTGAAGGGTGCACTGTATAAATCACAGAAATCAAACAATAATAATAATAATTCTTTTATAACAGAGGCAGTTAAATCTTCAATGGGTAATTAGGTGCTAAATAAGTTAAGTCTGAATATGACGCTTAAGTTAAAGTGTTCATTTGTTCATTTAGAAAAAATCTTCACACGATGATATACAAAGGCATCCAGAAACAAAACAAAAAAAAAAACAGTGTAAAAAAAATTATATGGTACTTGACTACTGATTTGATGTGTTGTAAACTAGTTGTAGCATTTTAAGTGGGATATTTACAAGTAGGGTTTATATTTGAGTACAAACTTAAATATGATTTTGACCTGATTTTGGGAAAAATTATAATCCTATCTAAGTACTCATAAATATTGCGCTTGCCTTAATTTCGATCAAATTCTATTAATTATAATATTCACCAACATAATGCGTCTGCTGTCATTGAAATTTGATACTCTGTAAATTTTTATATATAAATTTAAAACCAATACAGATCTCACTCCAATTAAAGACCACTTTAGCGACCGGGGTTTAGCAGCTTTGGTCTCTAATTTAAATAAAACTAAGACAGTTGTTCATTAAATAATCGTTCCCTCATCGATTGACAATGATTTTTTACATCCTATTCACATTTTCATTTTCAATATATTGTAATAATTATTAATATACTGCCTATCTACATATAACATTTAAGTATTTACTTTCATATATTGTATGAAATCTGAACACCAATAAAAACAAGTGCACTTGCATAGATTATCCATAATAAAGTTTAAATAAATAAAATTTATTTTATGAAAAAATTATATACATTGATACTTTAATTACTTACTACTAGAACTGAACCAACAAAAATGATTTGGAAAGCAAATAATGAAAGTCTCACTTATTTTCCCCATTGACATTCTGTTTCATTATTCATGCATTAATAACATTTACTCCCTTCCCAAAACAGACAAGCCCTACCTGTATAAATACAATTAAAGAAATATGGCAACATATTTCATTTCACAAGGTTTCACCACTAATGTATATACCTATTGCGATATTAATTTATTAGTGACTCCATTCACACATCTTTGTACACTCTGAAATTTCATGTGTTATTCAATGTATTGATGTAGTGTTTCATTTTATAGTACTATAACGCTTTTAACCAAATTAATTTTAATAGCAAAACTTGTAAAATGACAATAACTGCTCAATGTAACAATATGAGCTTTTCACACAACTTTTCCCTCCATCATACTTCCTGTCTAATTCATCCCTGTATCATGCATCATTTAACAAAATTTCCAATAACAATATAAACTATAAATAATTTATATTAATAATACATAATTATTCATAATATACTATAGTTAAATTTTGATGTTTATATCTTTAAAAGTAAAAAATGTTTCTTTGTAGTATTTAAAATGTAATATTGTATTGTCCATATTTATTGTTCTATTATTATTCTGGTATTTTAGTATTCTAATTTAGGAACCGCGGCGGGAATAAGTTGTTTTTTGTACTTTTCTGTGTTTTTATCCTTGAATGCTTTTACTGTTGATTACTTTCAGAATGAATAAATAAAATAAATTATTACTTGTCATCTTTTACTTGGGTTAAATTAGACTATGAAGTCCCTCCTAGAGTAGGACTACAGTAGAGTTGTAAATGCAATTCAAACATAAATAAATTATCATCCATACTATGATATAGCATGTGTTACACATAAATCCAAATCCATTTGTTATAAGGGTTACTAGCTCAGACACAAAGTACATACATTATTCTTTAATTTTTCTGTAGGTGGGATTTCAACCGTAACTTCTAATAGTCTCGAGTAGGTTTTGTATGAAAATTATTACATCATACATTTCAATCATTAAAACATGCTTTAATGTTCAACGAGCAGCTTTTAATTTATCATATACAGAACTTGTTTATTTCTATGTATGGACACAACAGGAATTTTTCTTTTGTAATTTTAATGTTCCGATAAATACAAATTTGTAATTTTTTCATCGATTCATAAAAATATATCTCTCGGTAAAGCAAGTCTAAAAAAACATCCACCAGGTTATAATAATTGCTTTTGTATTAATAGATTTAAAGTGAAATCATAAGTCACCTTGAACCTCCTAAAATTCTTCAATGCTTGGTAAAATGTCAACATCGTAAAATATCTTCCTGTTCTTTTTTTAATAAATTGTTATCCACATCCACATTAGAATCTGTGGTTTTGCTATCTGAGCCATAAGACAGGAGAAATAAATATAGAATATATAATTTTGGGCATAAAAATACTTCCTTTAAATTAATTTTTGTATAATATAGTAGATCAAAACTTTTAAGAAGTATTGAAGAAGATAAATGTATATACAGTAGGACTGTTTCATTTAAGAATATTTCTACACAAAAACTTGACTGGAAATCAATAAGTAGATCCTGGTTTATAGTATAGTATTTAAATCCAATTTATAGTGCTTATTCAATTTCAGTTTGTACTTGTACTGACATCATCTAAGTCAATGACCAGAAATTACAAGCAGACAAAAATTTAATTTAAAATAACAACGCCTTTAGACAAAAATGCTATTGTATAAATAATACTATGACTGATAACTTATTTTATTGTGTGGGAGTTTTCTGAAATAAATATTCTTTCATGATTTTGTTTTGGTTTAAAATTGCATTCTCATGAGGTGATGTCATACTGTATAGTAGTTCATTTAATAACAAATCCATCTTTGTTTATACCTAGTTGTAAAGTCTGAATCCTGTTCTTGATCAGCTATTCTCTCAACTAAACCTTAAGTCCTGGCCAGCCAAATTGTATTTGACAAAAACATGTGACATGCCTATATATGGTCATGATGACATCACATCATGACCATATATAGGCACACTAGGACTATACATGGGTATAAAAGTTTCTTTGTCAAAGAAAATTTGATAATCAGGACAGAAGTTTACAGTACAAGGCGACAGGCAACACAACAGGTCCAGTGCCATATTACCTTTGCCTTTAGTTAAGGCAATTTGTAGTTTGAACTGTGCATGCTCCTATCAAGGTCCTTCGACATAAACACATACACACAACATAGGCTTATGTCGACTGACCTTGAATACAAGCATTCACAGCTTCAACCATGAATAGAGAGTTTCGGCGATGGGCGTTCACATGACCTAACTTGGATGTTGGATATAAACAACTGACTGGCACAGTGGTGCTATACATGGCGATTGCTATTGCATTGTCCTTTGTTATTACTGTAAAGATCATCATAATTCCTAGTAAATTACACCAAATTGCTTGGAAATTAAACTTGAAAATTTTGCCTTAATGTTTTGTTAATGCTGTAAGAATACTGGCTGCAAACATTGAGATTTTTCAAGAAAGGTAATAGGCCTACAGTAGGCCCTAGCACATCTACAGCATAGTTAGGTATGCATGATGATCTTCGACCCATGAATATGCTGCAATATTAGGGCTAGCTACAGTTTACGAAGGATCACTTAAATTTCAAAGCATACAATCCTAGGAGAATGCTAAGATAAATAAACACTATTTAGAACAATCGTATTGCCTTTCCTAGCCATTTATTTCTCACGTTAATAGTGAGTGGTTGTTTTCGCAACCATAACATTATCTTTTTCTATACTATCGCGCTGTAATGTTTTTCATGTATACCCCAGTTATGTCACATGACCACCTGTAAACAAACATCGCCGAATCCGTCTATTGGCTTACAGTATTGCTTGTTTCAATCAATAACACAAATTTTAATTTCAGTTGCATTTTGGGCAGACAATAAAAAGTAAATCCTTGGTGAGCCGCTAGGGCTCATAAGGCTGGGACTTATCCCGAGTTTCTGTAACATGAAGCAGATGAGAGTGTAATACTCCTCCGGCAGACAATAAAAACTACCATTAATATAATTTAAATATTAATAAAGTATGTTGGGTCTTGTATCTTTCCAATATACTTTCTAAAATTCATTATTTTTCTTCCTCTTATTTAACCTACTTTGAATTCAAAACTACTAACCAAGAGAGCAACGATGAAGAGTAGTAAAATACTTCAAATATCAAACATACCAATCAGCAATGAATAGTATTTCTCAATAAGAAAATGAGAATTCCCTCTTGACAAAAAAAAGACCCCTTGAATCTGAACATAAGATTTCATTGTCTAAATGCAATCACTTGAAAACAAATCTGTTGGGCACTCAAGGAGGACACAATGGCATGTATTTCAATACTTGGAGTAGACCTATATATTATACTTTCTTATCAAGAAGGACAAGTACCTAACTCTGGTACAACTCCAAGAATATGAAATCAAAAATAGACTACACAATGTACTACAGTCATTCCTGCAAGATAAAAGGCAGATTCTCTAAATGGCAGCCAAATAATTTAAACCCTGGTCGCCAATGATTGCAGCATCATTACAGTAACTAGATGCATATAGGCCCTACTGTAGTTCATGCCCGAATGAAATGGGACCTTCCCCTTGAAATTCATTTTTGCTTTCACTGATTTATGAAAGCACTTTCCTTACTATAACTTATTAAACATGCTTCTAAAAATGAATGAACAAAAAAAAAAACATGAAAGCAAGAACTGAAAGTGCACAATATTTTCAGCCTTCTAGATGAGAGATAAAAATAGGCTCCAGGCCAGATGGTGTGTCTACCTTATACTTGTACTATATTATGATAGTAAATCCTCCAATTATTGCAGACTTCTCAAGTTCTATAGAACGTTCATAGTTGCTATGAAAATTTTGCCTAATTATGGACGTTTACGGAAATAAACAAAGACACTACGGAAATTTATCTATACTCTAGACCCAGAAATATATAGGTTTGCACATTGTTGAAAGTCCAAGAGAATGATTTTTCATCAGGACCATTGGCTACATACATTGTCCCTATGAGACCCTAGACTTCTGACCTGTCAGGTGCTAAGGAATATTTTCATTTGCTATGGAAACTAGAAGACATGGTTACGGAAATGTATTTTACGAACTTGAGAAGTCTGTTAATGTACCTCAAAAAGTAATACCACAATCAAGAGGGCATATCTCAGAAGACAGTAAAAGGTGTATCAAACACATGCTGCATCTCTATGATGCATGTTTGAGTTTCAAACACAATTTTGTTTGAGTTTCGAACTCTCTATTTGATTTCTTATAGGGCGCCCCTAACTTGTGGTAGTAGTACCCATCATGCACCTCCATTGGATTTACTCGCTCAGGGTTAACTGCCAGACAACAACATAATGTCTATGCCCCCGAGGGGGCAGTACACAAAAACTGGTTAAAGTATATATTTTTTTAAATATTGAGCTTGGGAGATACAGTAGCACATCTACAGCACAGTATGCTTGCTATTCAAGATTTGAATGGCCCATTGGGACATGACAAACACTATTTACCTGTTGATTTCGTCCTGGCCACTTGCATGGGTAATGGCTGCCATATACCTCATTATCACTTTTGATGCCTCAGTCTTACCAGCACCACTCTCACCTAGAAAAAAAATCAAGAATAAATATTAACAAATAATATAATTAAATACAATAATAATAAACAAATGAAAATATAATATCAATAATGTTAACCATCATATATTGCGCCCATGATATAAATTTACATTGCCACCAAATCTTTTGTATAGGAACCTTGTTCTTAATTGGCCTCGTCCTCCTCCCATATTTGAAGAAATAAATATATTTGAAATTATATTATTATAATTATTATTATTATTATTATTAGATCATATTATTATTATTATTACCATATTATTATTATTAGCATTATTATTATTATTATTATTATTATTATTATGTGAAATTGTCCCCTTAATAGTGGATTTTTGGCAGGTTTTCATACAACAATGACATTACAGTTATTAACAACATGTACAGTCATTATAATTATATTTTTATTGACAAAAAAAATTAGAACTATTTATAGCAATAATTTGCTAATTTGAAAATATAATTCATTATAATATGATGTAATAAAACAATAATTTATATGTTCCCAATATTATTTCATGATGCAATGTTTTTTATTGGTACTATTAAGCTTTCTATTGGATGTATGTAGCATGAAAATATTAACGACTTAAAAATGAAGGTGCATGTTTGGTATGGATAGAATCCAACTGTGCATGAAAGTACATGAAAAACAAAGAAAGGAATATCAGGAATGAGGGTGCATGTTTCATTTCATTTATTTTGCCTTTTTTTTTTTTTTAACATAACAATACAGTAAAATATTCAGAAAATTCGAAAAGGTAATCCATGTTTCCCCCAAGAGCCGG